TGGAGAGTTAGATGTGGAGAGATAGATATGGAGAGATAGATGTGGAGAGATAGATGTGGAGAGATAAATGTGGAGTGATAGATGTGGAGAGATAGATATTGAGAAAAAGATGTTGGAAGATATTTGAAGATTGAGGTGTGTAGATTTATATACAGAGCAAGATGTGGAGAGTTTGGAGAGTTAGATGTGAAGAGTTAGATGTGAAGAGTTAGATTTAGGCTTTAGATTACATTGAAATATTTTTTATTAGACTATTTAAAATTCAAGCCCTTAAGTATCTGACCAAATCCAAAATGGAGAATGAATTCAAAAATGTTTTTGTTATTAGGAGAGTTTTCTTTTTCAAATGTCCAAGTTCGATCAAAGTGAATAACCATAGGCCAAGGGCGTGTCATTGATCTGACCATCTCAATTCCGTTTTAAGAACTTGCATGTCTTTAAAGCAATAATCCCACGCGCTTCTTCTGTTGCTACGCTACAATCTTTGTCTCGTGGTATTGATTGTCTTCCCCAGGTCCTACAAACCTCACCGTCTGCTTGTAGACAAGTGATCCCCCTCTAATGACGTGATCCATCCGCTCTGACGTGACTGTAAAGATCACGATCATGAGGATAAAAAACGGATTCCTTTATTTAACTGTTGATATCCCACCTTAAATTCCAGTTTCTAGTGGGTAAGGAGAATTGATAGAAGTACGGCTTTCATTCTCACACCATCAGTTACCGTTACTGGATTCAAATATGTTAGAATTCTCTATACCCCATCCAGTTCATGAAAATCACCAACATTTAAAAAAAAAACATGGTATACTTTTTATAATCCATGTTACAAAATTATTATTTTCTATCTATTGTCTATTAATGAACTTTCTGATTATCCGTTTCATTTTCTTACCTCAATTCTAGGAAAACAACAGCATCAATACGTTCTGATTCTTTGATACTCCCAGTTACATTGCGCATCCCTAAGTCTTCTGCCACCCCTCCACCCATACTGGCTCTGATTATCTGATACAGTTATATTTACCAAAGTTAAGTCTCTCTACCCCCTTCCCTCGTAGGTTCTAATTCTCTTACACTATCATTATATTTAGTACATTTATCGACCACTTCCACAACACATGTTTTGATTGTGATATTTACAGTTATATGTAGCACTGTGCTATATTATATGTTATAAGCCTCCCCACCAGCATCACGTAGGTTCTGATAATCGGATACTCACACACACATTTTATCACCTTTACGTCCCCCTCCCCATTTTCTGATACCCACACATATATTTACCACCTCTCCCCCCCCCCTCCACACCACCCTACCACGTAGGTTTTGATTCTCTGATACCCACACATATATTTACCACCTTTACGCCTCTCCCCCCTCCCCACCCCACCACGTAGGTTCTGATTCTCTGATACCCACACATATATTTACAACATCCCCCCCCCCTCCCCATTCTCTGATACCCACACATATATTTACAACATCCCCCCCTCCCCATTCTCTGATACCCACACATATATTTACCACCTTTACGCCTCTCCCCCCTCCCCACCCCACCACGTAGGTTCTGATTCTCTGATACCCACACATATATTTACCACCTTTACGCCTCTCCCCCCTCCCCACCCCACCACGTAGGTTCTGATTCTCTGATACCCACACATATATTTACCACCTTTACGCCTCTCCCCCCTCCCCACCCCACCACGTAGGTTCTGATTCTCTGATACCCACACATATATTTACCACCTTTACACCTCTCCCCCCTCCCCACCCCACCACGTAGGTTCTGATTCTCTGATACCCACACATATATTTACCACCTTTACGCCTCTCCCCCTACCACCCACCACGTAGGTTCTGATTCTCTGATACCCACACATATATTTACCACCTTTACACCCCCCTCCCCACCCCACCACGTAGGTTCTGATTATCTGATACCCACACATATATTTACCACCTTTACACCTCTCCCCCTTCCCCACCCCACCACGTAGGTTCTGATTCTCTGATACCCACACATATATTTACCACCTTTACGCCTCTCCCCCCTCCCCACCCCACCACGTAGGTTCTGATTCTCTGATACCCACACATATATTTACCACCTTTACACCTCTCCCCCTTCCCCACCCCACCACGTAGGTTCTGATTCTCTGATACCCACACATATATTTACCACCTTTACGCCTCTCTCTCCCCCCCCTCCCCACCCACCACGTAGGTTCTGATTCTCTGATACCCACACATATATTTACCACCTTTACACCCCCTCCCCACCCCACCACGTAGGTTCTGATTCTCTGATACCCACACATATATTTACCACCTTTACACCTCTCCCCCCTCCCCACCCACCACGTAGGTTCTGATTCTCTGATACCCACACATATATTTACCACCTTTACGCCTCTCTCTCTCCCCCCCCCCCCAACCCCCCTCCCCCACGTAGGTTCTGATTCTCTGATACCCACACATATATTTACCAACTTTACACCTCTCCCCCCTCCCCACCCCACCCCACCACGTAGGTTCTGATTCTCCGATACCCACACATATATTTACCACCTTTACACCTCTCCCCCTTCCCCACCCCACCACGTAGGTTCTGATTCTCTGATACCCACACATATATTTACCACCTTTACGCCTCTCCCCCCTCCCCACCCCACCACGTAGGTTCTGATTCTCTGATACCCACACATATATTTACCACCTTTACACCTCTCCCCCTTCCCCACCCCACCACGTAGGTTCTGATTCTCTGATACCCACACATATATTTACCACCTTTACGCCTCTCTCTCCCCCCCCCACCCCCTCCCCCACGTAGGTTCTGATTCTCTGATACCCACACATATATTTACCACCTTTACACCCCCTCCCCACCCCACCACGTAGGTTCTGATTCTCTGATACCCACACATATATTTACCACCTTTACACCTCTCCCCCCTCCCCACCCCACCACGTAGGTTCTGATTCTCTGATACCCACACATATATTTACCACCTTTACGCCTCTCTCTCTCCCCCCCCCCAACCCCCCTCCCCCACGTAGGTTCTGATTCTCTGATACCCACACATATATTTACCGACTTTACACCTCTCCCCCCTCCCCACCCCACCCCACCACGTAGGTTCTGATTCTCCGATACCCACACATATATTTACCACCTTTACACCTCTCCCCCCCCTCCCCACCCCACCACGTAGGTTCTTATTCTCTGATACCCACACATATATTTACCACCTTTACGCCTCTCCCACCTACCACCCACCACGTAGGTTCTGATTCTCTGATACCCACACATATATTTACCACCTTTACGCCTCTCCCCCCTCCCCACCCCACCACGTAGGTTCTGATTCTCTGATACCCACACATATATTTACCACCTTTACACCCCCCTCCCCACCCCACCACGTAGGTTCTGATTCTCTGATACCCACACATATATTTACCACCTTTACACCTCTCCCCCCTCCCCACCCACCACGTAGGTTCTGATTCTCTGATACCCACTAATATATTTACCACCTTTACGCCTCTCTCTCCCCCCCCCAACCCCCCCCCCCCCCCACGTAGGTTCTGATTCTCTGATACCCACACATATATTTACCACCTTTACACCTCTCCCCCCTCCCCACCCACCACGTAGGTTCTGATTCTCTGATACCCACACATATATTTACCACCTTTACGCATCTCCCCCCTCCCCACCCCACCACGTAGGTTCTGATTCTCTGATACCCACACATATATTTACCACCTTTACGCATCTCCCCCCTCCCCACCCCACCACGTAGGTTCTGATTCTCTAATACCCACACATATATTTACCACCTTTACACCTCTCCCCCCCCTCCCCACCCCACCACGTAGGTTCTGATTCTCTGATACCCACACATATATTTACCACCTTTACACCCCCCTCCCCACCCCACCACGTAGGTTCTGATTCTCTGATACCCACACATATATTTACCACCTTTACACCCCCCTCCCCACCCCACCACGTAGGTTCTGATTCTCTGATACCCACACATATATTTACCACTTTTACGCCTCTCCCCCCCCCCTCCCCCCCCCCCCTCCCCACCACATAGGTTCTGATTCTCTGATACCCACACATATATTTACCACCTTTACGCCAATCCCCCCTCCCCTTCCCCACCCCACCACGTAGGTTCTGATTCTCTGATGCTCCCAGCAATCGACGTGTCGCTTACCTCTAGTCTCCAACACCACCAGGCAAACGGTTCTCTATCGCCGGCACCGTCCACCAAATGACGAGACAAGCATGCACGATCGATGACTGCAAGCTGTGCCAGGAGCGGAAACTCACGCGGGTCTGAGAGCTCCACTCTCGCCCCTCCCCCACCCCTCACACCCACCTCCAATCTTAAACGTGATTTACGTTTCAGAAAACAGAAGCGAGGTATCGATGAAAAAAAAATTTCATTTATAACATAAATCTATGCGACGAGAAGGTCAGACAGTGACTTTAGTTTCACAGATTCACCATTTTATTTTACTGGAACTTTGTCTACACTCATGGTGCCTGGTTCGTAGATAAATCCTCTCATAGTTACCCGCCATAGGAAGTTCTTCTGGCACTAGTTCGTGCGTCACTCGCTATTATTTTCCTTTCCCAGCCACTACCTGAATTGTTGAAATTGTTTTTGAGATATCCGGAGGATTACGAAAATATATTCAACGACATTGCTGTTGGGAATTTTAACAGTTTTTGAATATTTTTTTCTCTTCTAAACCAAAGTAGATAGTTGTATGTGCTTTCAGGTGATATCAGGTAAAAGGATAAGTAATGTGATCGTGTAAGTTGCATTGTACCTGTGCTATACCTGGGCGTGCGTACATGCGTGTGTGACTTAATTAAATTGTGGAACGATGTTCTAGTTTTTAAAAAAAACACAATGGTAACCCGCGTAGCTAAATTATCTGCGTCATTATAGTGACTATAGTCATTTAAGGAACATGTTTCTGTGTAGCTACGTTATTTTAGAGCTTTCTGGATACACTAGAGCCGTGTTAAAATATTAAATTTTCCCCATTTACAAGTGGTGTAGTAGGTTTCGGGTGGATCCTTCGAATTTCAAAAGTAAATCATTTTAATATTTTAAAGCATGTCCTATTTGATTGGGCCTTCAAATTATTGTTTAAATAAAGTGCTCTCATCATTACTGTACATTTACAGCTGTGTCAGAAGGAGGTCAAGTCTCTTAAGTCTGGTGTTTCTGTGGTCACTGGTTAGTGCCTTGATCATCCGTTTGATTGTGTGGCCTCAACAGTAGGAAGTGTCAGTGTCTCAGTGTCGGCTCAAACATTGCAATGTTTTAAGTTATCGTGACCATAACGTTAAACATGTTCACGTGGACACATTTTAAATTTATATTAGAGCTAGAAGACTCCGATTTGGCGCCATTTAATCTTTAAAGGGGTGGGTGGGGGAGCAAGTCCATCTAGGGTGATGAAGGGTGTAACAAAGCATGTAAGAATTTAAAGTGGAGGAGGGGGGGGGCAAGATTCTGGTTGCCAAGATGGATTGGAGGGCGGGGGAGACAAGGCTGACTACAAGGTTAGGAGAAGATTCTCGTTGCCAGGATGGGGAAAGGGGGAAGGGGTCAAGACTGACTAGCTGAGGGTAGTAGGAGAAAGTCTGACTTACGAGGGGTGGGGGTGAGCAACACTGACTTACTCGGGGGGGGGGGGGGCAACTTGAGCAAGATATTTTCTACGGTCTCGTGTGGTGTAATGTTGGTATAGTTCCTTGGCCGTCTCGCAATATGTAGTACACATTTTGAGATCTGGACACGCCCCAACCTACGCCAATTAACCCGTAGGTAAAACTAATTAGGCCACGACCGCAAGACACAATGCATTATTTCATTAGCTAGGCTTTAACTTAACCACGTCTTAAAGTTAAGTAGGCACATGTTCAGTGACGCATGCACGTGGTTGAACAAAGCTTATACATTATATAGTAGATTCGATTTTCTTATAAGCCGCCCTCTCTCGCCCGAACACTACTGGGCAACCTGTGTTGTTAGACTTCTGTTTCTCTGCTTACACATTTATTGTCCTTGTCAACTGTGCCTTCTATTTTTTCCTCAAAAGTTGACAACACAGAAATTGATTTTTCTGAGGTTATAACGTAGGTTCGAGTTTACATAAGCTTTTCTCCCTGCCAATTAAATTCTTTATGTCTTCGGGCTGTCAGAGTTGTCGGTCTTTACATAATAGGATTACCGTTCTTGTGTTATATACATTTAGTTGTATTCTGCTTTTGTTTCCAGTAACACAACCCACACGGCAATGTCACTGAGTTATAGTCTTTAGATCTGTTTCTCCCACCTTTTGTTATCTGACAGTCATCTGTGGGATCAATGATAGGCTGAGGTTAAGACAAGACAGCCTTTCTTGAACTGGGTGTATGTTAGAGATCATCGCGTGTTTTCCTAAGAGACTTACGTACATGACGGTTAGACGTACATTAGTACTTGAATATTAGTCATACCTAGACATGGGTACTTGACAGTTAGCCGTATGTAGACATGGGTACTTGACAGTTAGCCGTACCTAGACATGGGTACTTGACAGTTAGCCGTATGTAGACATGGGTACTTGACAGTTAGCCGTACCTGGACATAGGTACTTGACCATTAGCCGTACCTAGACATGTTTCTTGACAGCCTTACCTAGACATGGGTACTTGACAGTTAGCCGTACCTAGACATGGATACTTGATGGTTAGCCGTACCTACTCATGGGTACTTGACAGTTGACCGTACCTAGACATGGGTACTTGACAGTTAGCCTTAAAGGACATAGGTACTTGACAGTTAGCCTTACCTGGACATGGGTACAGTAGCGTAGCGAGGGGGGGGGGGACGGGGGGGACATATGTCCCCGGGCGCCGACCTTAGGGGACGCCAAAGTGGGTTGGAAAAGTAAATTGAAAGGTTGAGGGGGGTGCAAATCGAAAGTTTGAGGGGGGTGCAAATCGAAAGTTTGAGGGGGGATGCAAATCGAAATCTTGAGGGGGGGGGGTGCAAATCGAATAGTTTGTCCCCGGGCGCCGGGAAGGGTCGCTACGCCTCTGCATGGGTACTTGACAGTTAGCCGTATTTAGACATGGGTACTTGACAGACGTACGTAGCCATGTTTATTCGACAGTTAGCCGTATTTAGATATGGGTACTTGACAGTTAACCGTACCCAGACATGGGTACTTGACAGACGTACTTAGACATGTTTACTTGACAGTTACCCGTACCTCCGTGTTCTTACAGATAATATTTCTATGCCTGGCGTGGTGTAATTAGTGGTGTGGTGTAGGTCATTAATTGACGTGTTTATGGGTGGCTAGACTGGAAGTCCGTCCAGTGCATCAACATAAATAGCCACACTTCTTAAATAAATAAAAATATGCAAAGAGTTCTAACAGGGGTGTCGCAGTGTTCGTGAATTGCTTGTGTCAAAGATTAAGGTTTGGAGAAAGATAAACCACTTTAGAAAAAAAAACATCTTTAAAATAACTGATGTATGGTAGATGTTATGCATGATAACATGGTTTTTACTTATCACGACTCATTCATTTAACTTTTTTTCCTCAGAAAACATTGAGGCAAACTCGACTTGAATAGACTGATGCTGTCAGCGACGGAAGATTCAAGATGATGAGGGGGTGAGTGATGAGAATGTATTCAAATGCATGTGGTGAGTCTTTACCAAACTGTGTCGTCGCTAGCTCGGGTGTCACCCGATGTGGCACCTCATGGTGTCCTCATAAAAAAAGTATATACATATCGGTGCCTAAATAGGCTTATATATATATATATATATATATATATATATATATATATATATATATATATATATATATATATATATATATATATATATATATATATATATATATATATATATATATGTCATATATACATGTTATGTTTGTGTATCAGCATGTGCATGTGTATTTTATATTGTTTTTTCTGGATGTGTTTTCCGGTGTATTTGATTCTGGTCAGTACATTGTCTGTGAAAGATGCAATTATTGCCATCCCGCCCCCCTCTCCAATTTTGCCTAATTGCGTCAATTAGTGCACACATTATATTATTCCGCTTATTAATTCAAGTGAAAAAAAAGTATCGTTTTCGTAGTAAATTATTAACGTAATAGTTATACAAAACCTTTTTCCCTGTAAAATTTGCAGTTTGTTACAGCCTCCCCCCCCCCCCTAAGGAGTGATAAACTGTGAACAGATAATAGTAACAATGTTTATATATAGTCAGTTGATATATTTAGCAGGTTTACGTCACCGTGCCCCCCCCCCCCCTCTCCACCTCTTTGTCATTTCGGTATTAAAAGACTATTTAACTTTAATTGACCATTAATTGAACTGTAGATATTGAAATTTTCTGCTTTTGTGTAACCCCCGTAAATGGTGTCACCCGGTGCGGTTCGTACCCCCGCCCTCCTCTGCATGTAAGTCTTCACGGGAAGAAATCAGTTGATATGGCTGCCCAAACCATGGCTAAAATGGAGGGGTGGGGGGAGGGGAGAGAGAGATTGGGGGGATGGTCCTGTTACCTTCGTCTTGGAATAATCCGCCAGCAATGTGTGATTGAATAAATTATATAAAATAAACGCAAATAAAATAATCTTCATAGTTAATTAAATCTTGTGAATTATCATATCATCATATTTGGTACAATCCAATTGTTTGTAATAACGTAACTGCTTTTGAGAACTCCAAATCAGAGTGACCTCCCTTGGAAAATCTCCTGCTCCACCCGTGTCATTTGATTGAAACATTTGAAACAATGTGAAACATTGGTTGTGTCACGTAGTTACGTTACCTGTAATAGAGTAATTGTCCAAAACTAATGGTTCAAAATTAACATTACAACATCATCTATACAACATTATCTGCTTAACCTGAACTTCAAACGTGCAACATCAATAGAACTGCATTAAATCATTGAATGAGTCACATTAACTATGCTAAAGGGCGACAACTTGAAAAAAACGTCATGTTTGAGAAGAGAAAAAAAAATCTAAGAAAAAATATTATTCTTTTAAAACTTTAATCAGATAATTGAATCTTTCAAGAGCGTCCTGTGTTGTTTTGTTATAATAGTTTTTTTCTTTTTATAACTGTTCTGAAAACTATTATTCAGTGAAATTATTCCCTATATTAAGACAGCAAAATAAGAAATTGTATAACAACGTACGGTTTAAGTTTAAAGCAAGTAATATAAGATTGAGAAAGACTGAACTATGGAAAAGGGGAGTAGGTAATTAGACTTTCTTTCAGGCAGCTACACCCCCTATCTCAAGTATACTGGAAATATATTTTCAACCAATGTCGGTCTCCTCGCGAAAATTTAAGTGTGCTCCGCCCCTGGTGAAAAATGACATACATCGTGTGAATGATCAGGTAAAAGTAAAAAGAACATGTAATTACTTGAATAATTAGCGTTTGCAATATCTGACTTCTCTCAACTTACGACATAGACTTTGTGCTTGGATTTCCAATGCGCAATCATCCATCATTCTATTAGGCTATGGCGCCATATTTTTCTATAACGTTTGCAAAGTAATTTACAAATGACGTAAGCAAAGACTTCTCCGCACTAAACTGTTCACACAAATTATTATGCGCGGACGTGATGTAAATAAACAGCCCATCTGAAACGGCTGTATTGAATCATTACCATATTGATTGAGCCTTTCAATGCAAGCAGTCCGGATTTTTACCTTACTGTTGACATTGTTCTATGTATTATCCCTACCGTGTTTTAAAAATGATTTGATGAAATTGTTATATTTATTATCCCTGATGTGTTTTAATAATGATTTGATGAAATTGATCTATGTATTATCCCTACCGTGTTTTAAAAATGATTTGATGAAATTGTTATATTTATTATCCCTACCGTGTTTTAAAAATGACTTGATGAAATTGTTGTATTTATCATCCCTGATGTGTTTTAAAAATGATTTGATGAAATTGTTGTATTTATCATCCCTGATGTGTTTTAAAAATGATTTGATGAAATTGTTGTATTTATCATCCCTACTGCGTTGAATACATGTGAAACCTGATTAGGAGATGAACAGTGTTTATTCCAGACTTTTCTCTCCGGGGGGGGGGGGGGGGCGGACACTGGTATAAGTATAAGTATATGTTTTCTATATAAAATATATTTCGTTCCGTGGGGGGGGGGGGGGGGTAGACTTTTCTCTCCGGGGGGGGGGGGGGGCGGACACTGGTATAAGTATATGTTTTCTATATAAAATATATTTCGTTCCGTGGGGGGGGGGTAGACTTTTTTTCCGGGGGGTTGGGGGCGTGGCAAAGCCCCCTGAAGAGATGTCTGGAAGAGACTTTGAAGATGAAGAGGAGGGGGATTAAGTGGCGAGTATCAGGGCCTAATCGCATAAAAAACAAACGTCAAAGTTCAATGAGATCATTGTCTTTCATAGCGCGGACGGAAGGCCATTAGGTGCGGGACTAGAGATGACCACTGATACAGAAATGTTCACCGGTGCCTAGTACAATGATGGGCACCGGTGGCTAATATAATAATAATGCCGTAATGTATCCGTTTGCAGAAGTCGTTTATTAAAGACTATTGTAACCACCAGGTCGTTTTTCATCACACAATGCCAAGATGCTAATTAAAAAAAATGATTTTAAACAGTTTGCTAAAAATTACGAAAGCTTTGTTTCAACATCAGTAACGATAGACTTTATTTATAACAACATTAACTATAAATAAGGCATTTTATTTTAAAAAGATACTCTGACCCTGACGTGATTTGAACACGCAACCTTCTGATCTGGAGTCAGACGCGCTACCGTTGCGCCACAGAGCCAACTGATCTCTAACAGAAGAAATGTTTACACAATAGTAATACAATAATTTTATAGAGGGGCGAGTGGTAATTTCTTTGGTTAGGTCTACTGTATTGTTAATATAATCTTAATTTACGCGTATTAGGCCTGGCTTAGCCTAATAAAAACAAGTTGACAAGAAACAAACAGATGAACTGTAAGAAAAATAAATAAAAAACAATAAGTAGTAAAATCCATAAATTGAAAGTACACGTCTGACATCGGATTTAAAATAACACTGACCCTGACGTGATTTGAACACGCAACCTTCTGATCTGGAGTCAGACGCGCTACCGTTGCGCCACAGAGCCAACTGTTCCACAATGTACCAAGACGCTATCTATATTATCATTTTGATACATCAATGTATGTAGGCCTTTATTTTAATTAATACGTTTGTGTTTAGTTCAAAATTTCTGTCTGTTTGTCTGCCTGTCCTTTAGTTTTTCTGTCTGTCAGTGTCATTCTCTCTTTCCATCTACCTGTAGAAAATATTGTAGCTCAAATTTTGTTAAATAGTTAAATTAAAAATGTAATATTCTTGCGTTGTCTTCAGAGACAAATGTATCTAGTATCTGGTCATTCTAAACTCATGTGTCAGTAGGCTAGAGTTTAGCCTATTATACAGTGGTGTAAATTATACAGCACTGTAGACCTAGATATAATGTGGTACAGGGCTGTAGTCCTTTATGATGAGATACACCGATGTAGGCCTATATGCTCTGATATAGCGCTGTAAATGATATGATACAGAGCTGTATATGCTCTGATACAGGCTTTTGGTCAAACCAATATAGGCTAATGTAAACAGTTGACAGTATTACACATGACATAACTTAGAAACACAGGTCACAAATCAAACGAAACACAAGTCACAAATCAAAGAAACACAAGTCACAAATCAAACACCTAAGTTTTTACGAAATATTTTATCAATGGCAACCTCGTTACATAACCTGTTACATCATTTCCTACTGTCACAGACAAGTTACGTAACTTGCGATCATATTAAATCATACAAATCCTCGAAGTAGACGTCAAACTATAAAGTGCGAGCGTTCACCACCAGAATTATGTCTCTTGTTGTGTGATGATGAAATGAGAACTCATGGCACTAACTCTTCTGGATCTAGTTTAGCAGAGATTGTAAGGGCTCGGTAGCATCTTAAGGTCAAATGTCAGGGTCAACTTGTTCAAGTACAATGACATTTTTATGTTGCTGAAAATTGGTCATCTGATGTCATATTTTAGCGATGGCGATGTATATGTATCAAAAAGGGCTGTCGGTACATAGCGTGGCACATATTGGAAGGGTATGATGCAGGCTGGTGATAATCTGAAAAAAAAATAAGTGTATGATCTGGTTAATTCCTCAGTAGGCTCATTTAAAAAAATGCTCTTGTGAAACTACAAAAACTACAATTTTAACGGGTGTCCTTGCCATGATTCTGGGGAGTGGTTTTAGTGAGGTCTAATAACCTTCCTTTATAACACCCCCCCCCCCCCCACACACACACACACCGCCCACTTCCTACGCCACTTGGTGAGATTTTGGGCCTGTTAAGTCAACAATTGGGTGTATGACGACTAAGCCTTCATAGCCGCGATGTAGGGCCTACAGACTATATGATGAAATGTATTCAAACAACAATTTGTTATTATCCACAGGTTTGACTCTATAGAATCGATGAATGCCGATGAGCTTCTAGTGAAGAGAAAAAGGGGAAGCAAGCGTTTTGTTGTTGGGGCCGCTGTCATTGGGGCACTCTTCTTCCTGGTGGGAATTCTGATTGGTTTCTTCAGTCATGAGACAGAGCAGCCGATACCAGCGCCTCCACCCAAAAAGTAGTTGCTCCATCTTTTAAAAATTATTTCTTGTTGAATTTTTTAAAAAAAAATTATTTTTAATGCTGTTCCTGAATTTTTTTTGTCTGAACTAACCCTATAGTATAAAAAGCTAATATGACGCAATATGCAAACCGCTATTAACAGCAATCAAACATTTCTAAATCGAAACAAATTTTTAAGCCGAAAGGCATGGGATCAATACACACTTTTAAAATATTATTAGCCCATTTACTTTGTCACGCAGACGATATTGATATCCATAATTGTAATATAATTATAGCACTTATCTCAATTATGGAATTAAAATAATTTGCCTTCTAACGTTACCTTATTCAATTTAGTTTACTGTATTTTCTTAATCTGCTCGTAGCAGTTACTGCCCTTTATCTAGGTTGCGGTCCTTTTAAAAAAAAGTAGTAAAGTTGTAGCCTATTAGTATTTACCCTGCATTTAGAATAATTTAAATATATATTAATTAATTCCATTACGATATAACCTCCATTAGCGTAACTAAAAGCTACATTGAGCTAAAATTATACTGATTAAATAATATAGCACAAAATATTCATTTCAGATTGGACCCTGCACAGTTTATAATTGAGAATGTTGACGTCAATTTCTTAAAGAACAAACTTAAGTACGTCATATCATTATGTATAAATGTCATGAAATAGATAGAGTCACTAAATTAGATTCTATACTAGATGTTATGTAAATCTAATATACGTCTAGTTTTAGATCTAGATTCTAATTAAACTATAATCTAATGTGAATGTATGAGTAGCAACTGGTACTGAAAGTAATGTACATGTAAGAAGTGAACTTCTTAATTTAGTCACTTCCTTAGGCTCAGGCAGATGTAAAACTGTAGACCATCTGTACTATTACTAGTGTCTAGAGATTTCCTATCTAGATGTATTAGAACTACTTAGTTTACTACTTAACTTAAATACTATAGCTAAGGTAATGGATCTAGTTTAAAAAAAAAAATCAATAGAGAATTAGAGGTGTGTCTCTTTGTCGTGCTTAGGATAAGTGTCTCTAATAATAATTGTAACTTGTAATTATAATCCATTCGTTTATATTTATAATTCTAATTGATATAGGCCTATATAATACTATATATATATATATATATATATATATATATATATATATATATATATATATATATATATATATATATAGGCCTATATCTAATGATTTTAGTAAGTCTTGTCTAATAAATAGAAACTTCAATTATAATTATAAAAAGTACCATAACGTAAGTTAGTGAATCATAAATATAACTTCTATATTTTAGTAATACTAATATTTAATACTTTAGTTTGATATGATATTTTGATAAAACAATACTATAATTAATACAATAATTAATGTATAGACTAGACTAGACAGTCTAATTTCTATTTAAAATAATAAGTAATCTTTAATAACTATTTTTCAAGGAATTTCACTTCACAAGTTCGTACATCAGGTAATGAAGGAAATAATGAGTTGGCAGACAAACTCAAGTCCATGTGGTCAGACAGTGGAGTGGATAAAATACACACTTTCAGTTACAATGTGCTGCTATCCTTTGCAAACCTTACAGAACCAAATAAGGTGGCTACACACTTGCACACTAACTCACAGATTTTTAAAACGTTTATTTATTTTGGTAGCTGGAGTTTTTAAAATGTTGTATTCAAAGTATTCGTGTTAATATTTACAGTAATTATTGAAGTGTTTTAATATAAAAAATAATGGATGTGCCTTTATTTCATTTTATAGATATATAGTATAGATGTAGCCTAAATTATTCTGATTTTATTGCTCTAAGGTTGAAATCTTAAACAAAACTTCTGGGACAATCTTATTTACATCTTCTGCCTTTGAACCCAAATTGCAATCAGATGAAAGAAACAGCAGCACCTTGAGCTACAATGCTTATTGTCCATCAGGCATAGTCTCTGTGAGTAAATAAGTCAATTGGTTCCGTTACAATTTTTTACCTCATAGAAACAAATACGAGCTTTAATAAAATGTAACTAATTGGTGTAGTGTTTTTTTAACAACATGGCTTAGTAAACCATGAAAGAAGTTGATTTTTTAAATGCTCACATATCATTGCTGTAGACTACAAACCTCTCATGATGTGTTTGGTATTTAGTTTGCTGTAGATTGCTTTAGAAGAAAACAAAGACCTAATACACAAGAATTCAAATCCTGAAATAATTGATGGTATAAAACACAATGAACACAATTTTGTGAAATGACAATGTTTTTTTTTTTTAATTTAGGGAGATGCAGTCTATGTGAACTATGGGAGAGTAGAAGATCTAGAGTACCTAGTGAAGAATTTGAGCCTGAACATTACAGGACAAATTTTCATAGCAAGATATGGGAAAATATTTGCAGGCAACAAGGTATATTTACATTAGTTAAAGACTTAGTTCTTTCCTATTATTTAAATTTTGAAGAAAATATCAGAATCTACAAATAAAAAATGTACTGACTTTTTAAAATAAAATAAAATGCAAACTAAAATATATCCCTTTAAGACTTAGCACTGCAAGTGATTATTTTTGTCTATATCATTCACAGGTGCTGAATGCAGAAAATTACAACGCGAGTGGGATCATACTATACTCTGACCCTGCTGATGTGAACCAAGCAAAAAATAAATCAGTTAAGCCATACCCTGATTCTTGGTGGTTACCCAGCACTGGCATCACAAGGGGAACTGTTTATATGGGGACAGGGGACCCAATGACACCAGGCTACCCATCAACTGGTTAGTCATTGTTTTATTCTACAGTAAAATTTACTAAACATTATTTAACAATTTAAAAAAAAAAAAGTTAATTGATTCTATCAAATATTTACAGGCCTATATCTAACATTTTCTTCAATATTTAATTTTTATACATACATGGGTCTCTTCAAAAATTAAGTTGTCTTTTTTTTTGTGTGTGTGCAGATTATGGATTTTACAAAAATAGGTCAAAAGATATTTTACCAAGAATACCTTGTCAGCCTATAAGTTATGGAGATGCTATGCACATATTGGGGTAAGACATCATGCATTTCTTAGATGTTTATTTCTTGCAATACAAATCCCTTATACAATTGCAAACATATTTTTTGTAATTAAATCACACAAATGTATTAGATATGATAAATTACTTGTAATTATATCCTGTGATTCTTTGGAAATAGTCCAATTTTTTAATGAAAATTTATTACACAACTATATTAGTAATTAAACTTTTTCCCTAGTAATTTAAGTGGACATGCTGCCCCTACTAGCTGGAAGGGGACGTTACCCATTGACTACAAAGTTGGTCCAGGGTATGAAAACAACACTGAGCTGTAAGTCAAATACATTATGTAATGACAGTTGTGCTATTAGATCAGTTTTCTTTATTTGTAAAAGACCACTCATTATTTGATGGATAATATTAGTTTTGCTTTTTCCCTAGGGAATTAAAAATGACAGTTAACAATTATTTGGAAACAAAGCAAGTTCAAAATGTCATTGGAGTCATTCAAGGCAGAGAGGAACCAGGTAGTAAATTAAAACAAGCTATGAAAATTTTCAGTATAAAACTGATGCCATTGCTGGTATTTATAATATGAATCAACAGTAACATATTGCATATATTAGGCCTACATTTTTATTTTACTTTCAACAAAAGATAGGTATGTTTTACTTGGGAACCACCATGATTCATGGATGTATGGGGCAGCAGACCCACAGTCTGGTAATGCTGCTTTGTCTCAAGCTGTTAATATATTTGGACAGCTGCTAAAGAAAGGTAGTAAAAAGTAAACATTTTAAATGTACAAAGCTTGGTTATTTAACAGAAAAATAACATGGTTCTAAAAGTTGTTTATAAATGTATTTTAATTGATTTATGTCCTGGCCAAGATTTGCCTATTATTCTAAAATATAGCAAATAAAAAACAAAGAAACAGTAGAAATAGTTATAGAAAATGCACAAAATTTCATAAAAGTTTAAAATCATATTGCCTTTGTTTACTAAGTCAATAAAATTACATAGTCATTTTAAAAAAACAGTTTTTTTTTTTCAATATTGAAAGTTTAACTTATTTTAAAAAATAACTACTTGTATAAAAAAAATATACAAAATAAACTAGTTTGCAAATCAATTATCTTTTTTTATGTAGGCTATAGGCCAAGACGAACGCTTGTGTTTTGTAGTTGGGATGCTGAAGAATTTGGTCTCATTGGTTCCACAGAATGGATAGAGGTAAGAATAAAGCCTTGTGGAGAATAAACTTGTTGAAGTGGCTGTTATGTTATGCTTTTAAGTTTATTACCAGTAAATAAGAAAATGATTTACTGTTGTAAAGATAGTTAGAAATATCTATATAATATACGCTGTACTTAAAGATATATCTTTACCAATGTTAATTGCTACAGAGTAATTTAAAGATAGTTGGTGCAAGAGTTGTGGCTTATCTAAATGTGGAAACAGCTGCCCTAGGGACTTTCACCATGCAAGTTGCAACAAGTCCTTTACTTCAAGATGCCTTGTATGCTGCAGCTAAACAGGTAAATGTAAAGCTGAGATTTGTTTAAGCTGCCAAAATCTTTTAGACCAACTTTCAGTGACAGGTTGTATTGTCTGTTCATAGGAAAACTTATAGATTTCCTTTAATGAAAGGACACATTATGAAAAATATTGCACACTGCATTATAAAGATAAACATAGTAATTCTATCTAAACTTTAAAATTTATGAATAGTATTGTTGTATTTTTTTTTCTCCTCCTTTATTTTTACATATCCTGAAATAGGTTTAAAATTTATTTCTTAGATCCCAAGCCCAGAAAAAGAGTTTAAAACATTGTATGATTTATGGTTAGCAAAGTCAGACAAAAATCTGGAACCAAGGTGAGATTTTTTTTTTAAATACATAAATACATTTTGCTTTACATTTGTATTTGCTGGGGTTATGGTTGGTCTTAGAGTTTTTGTATCTGCAATACTAGCTGTATGATATAAATGGTTAATGGAGAATTAGCTTGAAATTTGTTATAATTTATCATTTTTTTGTCAATGAAATATGTTTACAGGTTGAGTTATTCTTTAGGTGGGGGAAGTTCTTATGCTGCATTTTATCAACAAGTGGGGGTTTCTTGTGCTGACTTTCATTTCACATTTAATGAGGTAGGGACTTTTGTGATAGATTATATTCTGGTCTTTGATAATTCACTTATGTAGACAAGAACTATCTATACTGTGTTCAAAACTGTGCTTTTAAAAAATCATAAATTAATTACTGACTTTTAGATTATTTAATTTAATTAATTTTTTTGCAGAAATGTAGGCTTTTAAGTTATTTTAACTAGTATTTTATACAATACACATTTTATTTAACAAACATGATCAGATTGGAGAAAGACACTTCGTCAAATTCCCCCAAGTCATACCACCCCTTTTAATTACCCCTAGTTGCAATTAGCCACTTATAATACTTATATATAACTATTATAACCCCCACCTGTCCAAAAGACTGCAGTAGGACATTACCCTCTGTCAACTACCCCTCAGTCATTTAGAGATCAAGATTAGGATAGGGATAAGTGAAGCATGGGTTAGGGGTAGGTTTAGGAATATGAATAATGCTAGGGTTATAGAGATACAGAACTAAATATGGAGATGTATTGGGATAGGTTTAGTACGTATTGTAAAGGGAGGTAATTAACTGGGTGGGGGTGTTCATTTATTGTCTAGACCCAGTGCATTTGTGATAAATTAAAAATATGTATGCTAATTTTAAAAAAAAACCCACTTATAATACAATTTCTATATTTTCAGGAGACATACCCAATGTCAAATTATCCCTTGCATCATTCATCCTATGATAATTACTTCTCATATGAACATTACCATGACCCTGAATTTAAATATGCCAAAGCCATAACTCAGTTCTGGACAACTTTAGCAAAGTAAGTGGCTACATTATCTACAATACTAAATTTAACATGTAGGTTCCGGGTTGTTTTTTTTTTTAAACATAAATAAAAAAACAACTTGTATTACACAAAATATTTTAAGCTTCAACCAATTATGTCAAAGAAAAATAATAGTGGGCAAAATATTTATTTGTTGAAAAATAAACATTTTGTAGTGGTTGAAATAAAAGATGTTTTGTCCAGATTAGACTGTAATACACAAAATTCTACAAGTCTAATAATTCAGTTTAAAAAAAAATGAATCTTAATCATATTTTTAGCAACATCGCTAATGCACAGCTGCTGCCTTTCAACGTGTCCAGATTTTCATCAGCATTAAAAAACTTTCTCACCGATTTAATGTCAAAGTATGAAGAGCTCTGGAAAAAGAACCAAGTTAACTTGGGTATGTTTGCTATTCATTTTAGCTACTAACCTATTGCATGCAAACAACACAAAGCATCTTAATGTCTTTCAACTCTTTTAGCAAAGCAATTACAGTGTAAACAAAATCCTCATTCACTGCTCCTTGCCCTATGTTTAATCTTGCGTTTGATAATGTCCTTATGGAATAAGATATGAGCAAACAAAAACACAGATGAAAACACAGAACATACACTCAAATCACTCTGGTCATTGCTTCTATTGTTTGATAAAATAAACTATTATGAAAAATGTTTCAGATGCACTGCTATCAGCTGTGAATAACTTCACAAAAGCAACAGAAGAGTTTGAGAGCCAGTTAGCAGCTGAGAAAGATTTGGATAAACAGTATTATTGTTTTTTTTTAATTGTTTGTTTTATTGTTTTGAAATTATAATTGAAAATATAATTGAGAGAAAACACTTTCTATCCTACATTTTGGAATTACCTGTGTAATGTACTTGTATTTTACATTTCTTCTGATGGTACTGGTGTTATATTTGTTCTGTCTGGAGAGCATAAGCTATTTCTGTCTAGAGAGGATAAGCTATATCTGTCTAGAGAGCATAAGCTATATTTGGTTGAGTCACACAAATTATGTTGTATTTGTTTGGAGTCCTACAAAGCTTGTTATATTTCTTTAGACCCTACAAACTTAGAATGTACAATGACCAAATCATGCAGCTAGAGAGAGCCTTTATTTACACTGGATCTCTTCCAGCCGGGTCCAGCTCTAGGTGAGTTTATAAATACCTGCTGGTGAGCACTGACAATTTTTGTTTAAAACAGACAATTAATATTTGCTTAAATAGAACAGAAATCCTAAAATTGTTTTTGTATTATTTTAAATTTAACGTCAAAATGCAATAGTTATATTTTACTGCTTATTTAGAATTTGTCAAGTTCAACACATAATTTTCTTCCTCCCTGCTAAAATAATTTAACACTGCATTATAATTTTATACTGGATATTTTCCTTATAATTTGGTAATATTAAAAGAAAAATATTTTCAGAAATATCATCTTTGGTCCAAGTCATCTTAATTTCTACAAGGATTCTTTTTTTCCTGGGATTGTAGAAACAATGTACACAATAGAAAAAGGAGAAGATGAGTGGAATCAACTGAAACAGCAAGTTTTTCTAGCAACCTTTTACATACAGTCTGCAGTTCAAACATTAACATGGGACTTGACTTTATGAAGGGATTAGGTTTTGCTGTACTTTTTAAAAATTAAATTTTATTTATTTATGAGGCAAGTCTCAGAGTGTTAAAAGTTACCATTAAATAAAATAAGCCTAAATGTGTGTATATATTTTAAAACAAATTATAAAATGTACTTTCCAAATATTAACATTGTTCATTTATAAATTTAAAACTTCATAAATCATAAACTATATAATAATGCCAATTGTTTACTGTGTTATTACTGAATGTGAAAAACATTATTTTTGTTTTGATTAACCTTTTAAATTATATTAAGCTTTAATAACGTTAGAGTAATAAAATAAGTGACAAAATGTTTGCATCCTCGTTATCAGGAGGTAGAATTTTAAAAACCACTTGACTTAATTTTGGAGAACAATTTATCAGACATTTGCTCTAACAAAAGCTTAATTTTAAAATACACCAAAATGTTAAGATACATAACTAATAGCACGGGAGATAAAAATTGTACTAATCCAACACAGAAATAGTTTTAATAATGATGATACTACATTTTTTAAATTTCTGCTGGATCTCATTTTTGTTTTGTCTCTGTCTGAAAATTAATGTACTTTATATATTTTTCCATTTGTAACTGTATAGAATGATGTTTCATTGACTTGAATAATTGTGATGTGTTATTGTTCTGATACTAATATGCAATTTAAAAATTTCAAGAAAAGCATTTACTACTTACACTGATAGCATTATGAATCACATAATTAAATAAAAACATTATTTTTATCATATCAGTATAATTACTGACTCTTCTTTTGAGAATGGATAAACAATTAAACATTTATTTTATAATTCTATACCATTATCCTTACATTTAAAGTAGTACATTTCTTTGTAAAGTATTTTATTCTATGTTGTTGTAAATAATTCTACATAAATGTAGTTGAGAAAGCTATCATCACACATTCCAATGTATATTTGTTATGTAAATTAATTTAAATATCTAAACATTGTTAAATCTATATTTTAATTCCATTGTTTAGTGAAAACTAGATTTAAGTCTTGATTAAAAAATAATAATATAAAACTTTTGTTGACAGTTCATTTACAATGTTTTGCTTAGTATGCATCATAATCATAAGACAATTTTAAATTTACTTTAATAGACAGAAAAGACAAAATCACTTTGTTATAATCTTTAATGAACTATGATGTAAAACTTGAAATAAAAACCTCTTCAATAATATTTTAAGCTACTTTAAAATACATTACCATTAATATTATTGTAGAAGACATAATAATAATAATATACAGTTTGTGTACTTATTAGTGTATGATACCACTTTTGTTGATTGAAAGGACATAAAACACTAAGTGGCAGATCATTCTGTATTTTTTGTGAATATAAACCTATGCTTAAAGTTAATAGCCTACATGTTTTGAGGTGCTAAATAAATATACATTTTAATTTTCAAGTGCACTTAAAAACTTGTCTAAAAATGTTGTGTGTTGGGTATTAAGAAAAAGAACTCATTATCATTATTTACTTGTTTTAGTCTTTAAATTTTTGAATACAAAACTCTTACAAAGCACTCTCAAAAAAAAAAACATTAAAAATAGAAAAATGATTTATTTCCACAAGAAATATGATCATTAGAACAAACTGTCCTCAAACTGTGTACTAATTATTGATACAATGGCAAAAGTGTGCTTTATCTACTGAAAAAAGCGCAATGGGAAATATTATACAGCTGCTAATTTAAGTTAAAACATAAAAACAAAATTTGCTCTAAAAATGTAGATGCTATTTATGGACGGCACTACTTCTAATTGTGAGTCCTGGACATCTATAATATCAGAATTGATGAGTAATTGCATTCAAAATTTTGCACAAAAAGAGTTTTGAAAACGCATTCAGCAGCAAAAAAATAAATTTAAAAAAATGATGGACAAGAATAGCAGTAGAAATGTTTGATTTCTTTTCAGCAAAAAAGAAAGTTTTAAACATAACATACACATAAATAATACCCTATAAGTACCACTGATGCTTTAACCTAAAATAAAGATTACCACAACATTATTTAAGCAAAATATCAATAATTGGCACAATATAATTCATTAGTCTAATAAATTAGTGACAAGACATAATATTTTGATTAGCATCTTTTATCAAATTTTTACTAACGTCATTGTTGTAGATATATCTTTGCTTCATGAAAGACGCTAAAATATATAAATAAAAAAGCAATCACAAGTAAACTTGCATATTTATAAACTTGTGCTGTTAATAACATAAGCAAACTATGCTTGCCATGATTAAACAATAGTTGATAAACAAGGATGTGAAAATATTAACCAACAACCATCATTTCAAGGAATTGATTAGCAAGACAAATGTGTGGGTCTAAATGGCACCTGCTTAGCTCAGCACAAAACGGAGACAGATGGTTGAACCATGCAAGCTTCCCAACAAAAGCAACAGTTAAATTGCATGCATGAAAGAATACTGCATTTGGTAAGACATGCCTGAGGAAAGTCTGAAAGATATACATCAGATTTCACTTTTGAACATTGCAAATAAACAGCCCATTTTAGATAGCTTCAGTTTTTGAGAGTAAATTATGAAGCATATCCAGGCCAGCTTTAGTAATAAAAATAAGTAGGTGAAGTGAATTATTGTAATCTCAAAACAATGTGGGGGTTGTCCACAAATATGACCCTACTAAACCAGGAGGTGTAAAATGTTTACAAGGATGTGCTACCTGAGCAACTAATAGTAGGTACATGGCATGATTTCTAAATTGTTTTAATTCCTAAAACATTAACATGATGAAAATTTTCTATACAGTGTGATGAAAAGTGGGTGGTGGGGTGCCACAGTCATTATGATTTAATTTTAGAAGATTTTTGAAACAATAAAGAATTGAGGTAAAGATCTACTATACTGGTGTGATGACATTTATGAAGACCCCTAAAACTAAGTCTTGTGATAATTTAAATTAGTAAATTAACAAGAATATTTAGCACAGTACTAGATTGCATCTGTAGTTAAAAGACAGCTATCACATAGGCTTATATGGTTAGGTTAAATATGAAACAGCCAGCAGTAACTGCCTTCTATAGGTTAAATAATAGCAATAATCAACAATATGTATAAAATATGGATTTTTAAAAGTATGAACACAAGTACAGCTGTTGTAATAAGAAAACAAAATTGAGCAAATTATTACACTTATTTTACATTTAGTCAGTTATTTAAGATTGAAATATCCTGCGGACCAAAAATTCATAATCTAATTTTAAATAAGAAATAAATAACTAGCCTATCTGAGAAAATAAAATAAGTGTATAGTAACATAGATTTGTCATTAGTTTTAAAATTATCAGGAAGGAATTAATGTACATATAAAAATGTGTGTATCACAGATTTAAGTATAGTACATGTATAATTTGAAAAACAATAGGCCTAATTATTTGATTTTGTAGGAACATATAGAAAAACAGTTTTGATCTATTTGATTTTTTTTTTATAAGTGAGAAAATTTTAAATATCTACACTGCCATAATGTAAACATTAAAAATTTAAATTGAAACAAAAAATAATACAATAGGGGTTAAAATATTAGTAAAAAAAAAGTGCAGATTAGAGCTAAAATCTATTAACTGTAACATGGAATCACTCTTAAAGCGGTATTTGAAGGAAAAAAACATTTTTGTGAAAGGAATTTGTTTACACTCTGATTTTATAACAACCTTGCAGTTTTGTTCCATTAAAATGTCAATTGACTCGAACATTCTAATATCATTTAAAAGCCGTATCAGAAAGTAATAAAAAATTTGTTCCCAGGGAAGGAAAGACAAATGGGTTACGAGTCTACTGTGTCTGTTCTGTTGTGACAGCAATACTCTCTTGTTCAAGATCTCTTTCTGACTGCAAGGTTTCATTCTCAGTTTCATCCCACTTGCTTCTCCCTTCACTCATATCCATGAAAGAATCCACCATTGTATCGTCAGGCTCCAGGAACTCTGAGCCTGGAACCATATGTGGATGGAACTTTTCAATAGCCCACTGAATGGCCCAGATGGCTAATGGCCTCATGTAAGCCAGAGATCTATAGCCGTGGTGGAGTGTATAGGCTTCAGGTGTTTGAAAATGTAAACCTAGAACATCCCAGCAGATATGATATGCTCCATAGGCAGTGCGGAAACCTTCCTCCACTAGGCCCTAAAATAAAACAATGTACACATTGTAGCCTAGCTTCAATGGGTTTTGTAATTAAAGTTTTAAAAAATTAAAAAAACTCACCTCCTGAATCATGGTTGCTGCAAGAGCATAAGTGATCCCAACCCAAAATTCCTCAGACTGGGGTGAGCTTAAATCCATCTTCCCATCAGGTCGTGTACCGTTGATCGCCCCCATATAGCCTCCTTGAAACCCCAGAACGTTATTTTTGTAGATGGTTAGCAAAGCTTTGGTCACATGGTCAGAGGGAAATACCTGCACAATATATCAGAGGATTATTTTAAACATATCTATTGATACACCTATTTTATTTGTGTACCCCAGAACGTTATTTTTGTAGATGGTTAGCAAAGCTTTGGTCACATGGTCAGAGGGAAATACCTGCACAATATATCAGAGGATTATTTTAAACATATCTATTGATACACCTATTTTATTTGTGTAGTATGACAAGTGAAAAGACATTTTTAAATAATAAAGAGCTTTTAAAAAACTAATTTAATCATGGCTTATTTTAAACTGGATTCATTAATCTCACCGTATCGTCATTCAAACAAGAAGCTTTAAGGAACCACTGGCCAGCCAGCTGATCAGCCATAATGCTGTCATGGTGACCACTTGTGCTACAGTCATAATTATAGTAGGTGCCTAAATGAAAAGACAATTCAAGCAACATACACAGACATGGCTTTATGTTATAGCAATAAAAATTACTTTATTGATCACCATACATGGTAGAAATAAAAATTAAGGCAAGAATTTTCAGTAACCTTTTTATATTAAATTTTGATTTCTTTTCTAATAAGTAATCAATTAAATTAATAAGTGGGTGACAAGCATGGTTAATCATGACTACAGTTGTAATCAACTGTGATGTAATGAAACTTTGCAATAATTGGAATAAAAGATTAGGGGAAACTTAAACAACTTTACTTACATAAACCTAATTAGTTTAAGATATATTTGCTTTTTTAAATGTATACATCAATTAGGCATAAAATTTCTTGTTAGATTTGAATTAATTAAATTCTTTCACTAACTCATTGATGATGATTAATTGAATTGATCCAATAAGTTGTGTGCATTAATGGAAGTGATTGGTTAAGATCACATCTTGAAATTAATAGATTTAATGTTGCTAAAGGCATAGACTAATATTGGTCAAAATATAAATTATTTGAAGTGCCTATATTAGGTCACATTATGTATTAATTTTAAATATCAAATACTAATGTGATTTTTTTATGATGTGGACAACTATGATGCTTTGGATCTTTATGCCAAATACATAAAAATGATTGTTCAAAATTATATTTTTTACACCTGACTTAAATGTTTGACGGAACAGATTTTCCTATAGATAAGTCAAGTTTAACTAATTTTGTTCTTCTAAACAGGTAAAAATGAATAATAATTATATATTTTTTCATATGATGTCAAAATCATAAACCAATGTATATACTTTTTGGAATTAGCTTTCTTAATAAGTTACAGGGATTTCATATTCTTAAGACACTAGGCTAGATGAAAAAGATAAATATAAATGAGTAAAGACTAATAGGGTTGTATTTTTGTCGCAAAGTTACGATGGCATGGTCAACAATAGAGTACAACAATTACGAATCCAGAAGTCTTAAGTTTGGATCCCAAGCTCAAGTCTGTAGGATGTCCAAGAGTTCACCCAGTACTGGTGGGTACCAAACTCACTTAGGAGAATGTAAAGGCAACTGGGTTTGGAAACCACCACATTATCCCTTAATATGCTGAGGTCACAGAAATAGGTGAACCATGGACTATCAGCTTTGAAAGGATAACTATACTTTTTTTTTTAATACTGACATAGTGACATGAAGGCAGTAAATGATTTTACAATTAAGATTGTAATGGAGTTAAAATACATCACAAACCATTCCAAAGCTTCTGCTCAAAAGCTGCTTTTCCTTTATTTAACATTGCTTGATATGTATCCTCATCTTCTTTAATACTCAACAAGCTAGCCATTTCTACCATCATTTTCAATGCTGCCAACCACATTCCTCCACAATACGAGCTGGAAATTGATAAGTTTCTAACATCTACAACAACAATAACATTCTTATATTAAACAGAATAAAGATTAACTCCGCAGGTGAAATATTAAAATGTTAACCCTTTACTAATTAAGCTAATGTGGTTGTAGGAAGAAGGCTGGCGTTATCATTTACTAATCAAAGGAGCAAGCCTTGTTAAAAGGAATATCCAGTGAATCTTCTTTAAAGCTATACTCATCCATGTGCTATCGAGGTGTCAGGTCATTGATGTGTGTATATATGTAGATATATATTTATGTAATAATTATATAATATACATATAACATACCCAAAATGATGTTTTATGTTGTCTAAAAATGAAGTTGGTATGTAACAAAAATAACCATGTCTACATTGGCAGTCTTTTAAAATCTACTACTCAAAAAGTTCTTGAATAAATAATGCTGGTATATACTTATACGAGGCAAAGTTTACAAAGTAATTTCACCTAATGTCCAGTATAGCCTGAGAGTCAGAAAGGTGTTAAGTAAGTCTCAATACAATGAAATCAATCCAGTAAAATTACCTAGCTCCTTTCATTACCCAGGCATCAAATGTTTGATCAGCATAGCCTCCATTGTCAATGATACCATCACCATCAGTGTCCCATGTTTTAGATGTTTCAATTAGTACCTGAACAGAAACCAATTAAGTATTTACAGCTTTTAAGTTACACTTTTTTTTTTAATAAGCAGATGATCTGTAAAACAATAACTCATACTTAGGTAAAGCCCTGCGGAAAAAAAAAAAACTAACATAATACTACCTGGCATTTAGGGTACATAAACTTTAAATAGTCCATATCTTTTAAGGCACTGTAGTCTCTATACACTTGAAGAACAAATTTTAGATTCAGATCTTTCCAGTCATCGGTGGGATGGATGTTATAAGCATTGACACGTTTCCAGGGTTCATCTTCTGTTAAAACAATAATTATCATTTTGTTAGTGGGATTTCTAGACAAGTAAAAATTTATTTCTACTAAAAATGGATCTAGATATACCTAGACAAAGTATTATCAATATCATACACACCTGGGTCACAAATGTGATTGTGAGGACTGGAGTTGGTAACTATCCTAATTTATACAGGAAAACCTAAGTCTACCAAAACAAAGTTGCAGATACATTTACTCCAATGATAGCCTCCTCAAACCATACACTCAAGCCAAGATTGCTCTTTCATAAAACTCAAAGCCAGATAAGCATGGCATCTAGATGTCTCTTGGCATGTGATGCATCAACAGGCATTTTAACATGAAGTTATGTTTATATTATTTTAATTTAGAGTTGGGTGCTCTTTCCATTCACACATTTTATTTTTTTATCACACAAGCAAGCAAAATGGTTCATGCATTGTATGGTCTATGTATTTATTAAAAGCCTAAGCAGATGATCATTGTAAATGTAAAGAAGGTATAGCTGCCATGTGAAAAGTGATGGGACAGTCTTTTCAATTAATTACTTTATTAATTAAGAATATGGACATTGATTGTAAAAAACATGTACACATTATTTGAGAAAATAAGATGTGAATCATCCATAAATTATTATTTCAAACTACTCTAACTGATTTTTTCAACCCCCCCCCCCCCCCCTTAACTAGGATAAGTCCTAACAACCTGTTTCCACACTAAATTCTAAAAAAAAATTAGCAGGTTTATTTTAATAATTTTTTGTTTTAATGAAATTTTTAAAAAATATGCTGCCACATTTTGATAACCTCCCCTTCATGCTAGTCATCATAGAAGTCAAACTTCACTCTTTTCTTAGGGAGTGATGTCATTAATAGATACCTATAAACACAGCACTATGATGAATGTGTGGTAGCTTTCTAATTAAATCATGATAAACAAATTCATCAATGATTATCTACTCTCTTTTTAAAAATATATCTATTATAGATGGATTTCAGTTATGATACACTTCACAGTTGGTAAATCATGACATACAGCTAATGTTAAAAATAGAACTATTTTGTTTGTTTAAAAATAAGAGCTTTTTTCAGAAAGATAAATAATATGATTCATAATAAATAACCCAATATTTTGTGTTAGTTGGAAGGTTATTAGTCAAAGCTGACAATATATTTCTGTTTTTGTTTTGTTTAGGTAAGCAATATTCTGAATGTATTTGTGTTTTTTGTTATTTATATCGTAAATACATTTCCATATTGATTGATAGCTTTGGTGACAGCCTTTAAAACCATAAATGTCTTTGTTTTTTTTTTAGAAATGGGCTGTTTTATATCCACATGATGTTCCTGTATGCCTAAGTGAATGTATTTGTGAATTAGAAATGCAATAGTGTCAAATGTATGTGTATAATGTATAATTTATTCATGTTATTAATTTGTGGGAAAAGAAGGATATAAAGATTCTGCCTGTTGAATTCACACCATATTTATATTTCCAATCACATTTATGTTTTTTAGTGTTTTTTATACAAACTATAACTTTCTTCTTGAAAGGGATTAATTTGTTGCATAAGCTTTAAAAATACACTTTTGTTTAAAATAATAAGAAAGTAAATCAAAAACATTTTGTGAAATAAATTTTAACATTTTAAATTATTGTATTCTAATCAAAATTTTTGTCTAGCATATGGCAGGAAACAGATTCAACCCTCAAGCATCTACTTTTAGGGTCGATTTTCGCCAATTTTCAAAGTAACAAATATTGACATATTATATATCAATTTTGTTGCTTAACAATCGAGGAATTCAAAAATATAAAAATTAATAGCACTAGACATTTACATCACGTTCAAAATGTAGATTAACCACACTCACTCAACTGAGATTTTTTTTTACATCTAAATGTAGTGAGGTCTAAAAATCCACGAAATTCACAAAATTAACAATATAATTACACAGAAATGTCACTTAGGCATACATTTATTTGTAAATGTGTCAAACTTTACAAAATATACCAGTTTATAGCTTATTTCTATAATTATTCTTGAGAAAAAAAACGACCGCCCTCCCCTTTAAAATTCTGGCTTTTAGAAACATTCTGGGGAAGAAAAAAATAACAGAGTTAAATATAGAAGGTCTATATAAAAAACATAATTAATAAAATATGTCTATATGCCAATTTTTAATATAGTTGCAGCATTTACATGGCTAATTATAATTGTTTAGTACTTTAAACATTAATTTAAAGTTACGACTCTCTGTGGCGTCTTTCAAGTGTAGTGTCAGTGTAGGAGTGTAGGTGAACAGGGTGTTAGGGCCTGATACGATTTCATTAGAATTGGTAATGAACAGAATGTATAATTAGAACTGGCATATAAAAACAATGTTGATAATAGATGCAGTTGTTTTAATGCTACTTATAATAGATCAAAATGACAAACATAATTAAAACCCAAGAATCTGGAAGCGCTGACCTCATTTTACTGACACGGTTGTCAAATAGTAAGTAGTTACTAAGTAGATCTAGATCTAAAAAATAGATCTAGATTTACGTAATTTTGAAAATACGCTAGATCTAGATGCAAAATCACTTTTAAAAACTGAAGTTAGTGATTAGATCTATAATGAAATTGAAATCAACAACTGATATGTAAGTATCTTTTGATTAAAAAAAAAATACGCTTAGTTCTAAGAAAAAAAAAAATTCTATGGTGTACTCGATCCCTATCCCAAAACGTGCCAGCCATATCGCATGCGTAGTCAGCTACTCAGCTGCTTATCAAATCGATGAATTTTAAAATTATATAATAAAAGTAGGTCACCCTAAAAAAAAGAGTAAAATGGCTCCCGTTTTCACGGCAGCCGTCACTCGATTCATAATTTACAGAGTTATAAAGTTCTACTTTCTTTTGGCTATAGATTTAAAGAAATTTTAATTTGTTATTTCTCATGCGTTCCAACAATTGTACCTAATTTTAATAAACATTGGATTAGTAAGGACTCGATTCTTTTTAGAATTAGCCCTCGACACTATACAGACTATTGCGAAGAAACAGACTCGCGCGAATGTCGTGCGTAGGCTGGTTCAGTGGCGAAGGTTAGAAGCCAATTTGAGACGGAAAGTTTTTACTTTGAAATAATTACATTATCAATTAATTTCGATTTAAAACAAATGGCTTAAAGTCAAAAGTAAACTAAAATTTAAAAACTTTGTTATTCGCAGTGTACTCAAGATTCTCGTGTTTTAAAGATAAGTCTAGTTTTACTACGCGTGCGTGCATGGTGCGAATATCGATTTTCCCCGACAGAAAATCATAAAAATTTTTTTTAAAAGTATCTACGGCAAAATAATACTTATATTTTACAGAATTAAATACATTTAACTAAACTGTTATTTAAGTACATGCCTCGGAGGAAAAAAATACAATTTTATATCCGTAAAAAATTAACTGAAATCCCCGCTTTCAACGACGCCGATGTGTCGTAATTATGGCCATTCACTTTGTTCAAATTAAAGTAAAAAACACATTCAAATATACTTTTTTTTACTTTCATAATTTACAGCAATCATTTCTAATGAAAAATCCATAAAAATAATAGTTATTTTTACAAAATAGTATTTCTTACCTTATTAGTGCAGTACACGTACTTTTCCAAGTAGATCCATTCCGTCCAGATTTGCATACTTCGCATCCTTCGCCGCGGCACAAAATGTCATAAAAAACGTATTCCACAAAAATGTTGCTAACGAAGCTTGTAAAAACATAGCTCTATTTATCAGTATAAACAAAATCCCCGAACGATGTCTGGTTAGAAAGTTTATGAACGGCGAAGATCGAATATGCATTTTCCGGTACTAATCTGTTTCCTGCCATATATGACAGGGATTATGACCAGAGTTTTTTTTTTAGACCAGGAACCTTAAAAGAAAGCATGAAACAGATCATACACACCTGGGTCACCAATGTCATGAGGAATACAGTTGGCAACTTTTCTGATTCCATTATCACCAGACATGAGAAACTTTACTCGCTCCCTCATTTCAACAGTCACAGTGTCACCTAAAACCATAATTATCCAAACATTGAAAACAAATGTGTAAAATTGTGTTTAAATCATGTTTTTATATTGTGATACAATTTTAGCAAGGAAATTTGACTACTCTAACTTACCATAGTCGTATTGCAGAGATAGCTGGAGCTTAGGCCAGAGCATAAGTAAAGCAAATGATGAGTAGTGATGGACATCATAAGTGTTAAACATTCTGTACTCTTGGCCTAGGTAGGGAATAGATGATAAAATTATTATAAGTTTCAATAGCTAAATTATTTTCAATATTACTTTTATATTTGATGTATTAAACATGCAAGAATGTTAGATTAAAATCAACATAATGTCAATAACTGTTCAACCTTCCAAATAAGCAAATCTGCCAAATCTGATGACGGTGTCATGCAATGACGCTGTATCTGATCCCTTGACTATATCTAACCAAACTGTCCCTCCATCACTAATGAAATATAACTCATTGAAAATTGCTGACTTGTACCAGGCAGGGAGAGAGCTGTTTTTTAAAATAAATGAAGATGCATGTATCAGGGGTAAAAATTATGTAATACAGCAGCACAATGAAAATTGTTTTTTCAAAAGTATCAAAATACAACTGTACAGAATTTTTTGTTTATTTAGCTACACAAATCATTAATTAATTTTTATCTTGCTTAGTTTTCAGTCTGATGTTATATAGGGTAAGAAGAAAAATGGTAGACAAAAAAAAATTAATAAATGGATAATCATCTATATAATAAAGTTATATGTTTATATAGCGAACGTTGCTGAAAACATTTGCCTACATTTGACTGTCATGTTAGTACAATGCCCAGCAGCCTCTATTTCCCTCCTCATGGCTAGGTAAGCTCATGTTCAAACTCTACCAAATTATAATTACAAGAATTGTTGTGCATTTATTCAAGCTCGACAATTTGGACTTACGTGCTTTGAAGTACAGGGTTTTGCCAACGGTCAATCTTAACCTCCCAAATTGGGTAATTTCTAAGTGTATAACTACATAGCTTTGAAGCTCCAGTGCCATCAGTTCCAAAGAGTCGTGCATAGCGCCTAAAAATTAATTTAGTTACATATCATATTTTAATTAAACTTGAAAATTTAACAAAATCAACCTGATGGAGAAAATTAAAGTTCTCACTAACAGGACTTAGTGAAATGAAATCAAATAACTAAAGTAAAGACCATTAACTTTTTTAAAAAAAAACTTATTGTGGGACTTTGACATTGTGCACTAATGTTTTGACAATCAGGACACAGAAAAACACACATAACCTAGAATAACTTTTACAAATAAATAGCAAAACTAAAAGGATTTAGGAAAATTAATAGAAAATTATTATTTGTCTTATTTTAAGAAATTTTTATAAACAGAACATTAAAATAACTGTTCTCTTTAACAGTTCAGATGTTATTGGCATACTAATGGTTAAAATACATTAATTAGCATTAAGCCAGCAACCTGTTGCAGTTGCTGGCCATTAGAATTGCAAAGTTGGTGTATGTGAATGAATAGCATATTTAGCAAAGTTCATTTTGATTTGCATTTGATCATTTGCTTTATACATTCTGACATTCAGTTGCCTATGTAAATAGCACTGACTCATCGGACCTAGGTCTTGTTTTTTCGAAGATTAAGCATGGAATTAGTTATTCTGTTATAGCAAATGCAAGACTTAATAGAAATTTGAACTGCTGCAGAAACATTTTTCTTCATAACTTCATAGTATGTATGAATGTGACAAACCTCATTTTGCCATTCAAATGGATTTAGTATCATAAAACTTCAATAAGTTTGTGTCTAAATATCTGTGCCAAAAAACCATGACAATGTGATAGTGTCTGTCCAAAATAAAATTTGCATCCATTACTTTAGATTTAGGACAAAATGCTAATGTGACAAACAATGGCTTTCCACCATGATAAACAAGTCATCATTACTTGAGTGTATTCATGCATAGAGTGGGTTGGTCAGATATATAAATGGCAATATCACTAAATTAAAATTAATTGCATTTTCTGCATTTGCATCTTTGAAAAACATCTATCTTGTTTTTTTTTTCTGATTTAGTCTTACACCATGCAAAAAGTATCACCTTGTGTATGTGTTTTCTCTAGCAGCAAACTGTACTTTTGGCATATCCCAACTCAGTGCAAATTCACATTTACTTTGTGAGTTTTTCTGTACCATCACACTAGCACAAACTGCAGAAGCAATTTCCTGCCCTTTGCTAGTTGGAGGTGTAGGATCTGCACAATTTAGTTAAAAAAGTGTAATTAGTGATGAAGAAAATGTGTCTATTACAATGAATAATAATACCTAGCACCATGTCAACCTTAGCCTTAAGTATCACCAACTGCTAATTTTAACTAATTATCTAATAAGACCAAAGTCTAAATTAATTTTTAAAAATTATTTAAGCCTTGGTAGCATTAATTTTTATTTTTACAAAACCATAATATAATAATTATTAATCTAATGAGGCCTACTTTATAAATTATTCTTAAATCCAGCATTACCAGTTTTGACTTCTTTATCCAAATGCCCTGTTTGTTCAATCTGACTCCACAAATCAGCACCAGAACCCCGGGGATTAAATTGTTTCTTAACACTAACTGTGACAGTATCCTGAAGATTACAAGTAACATCTTGATAAAAACTAATTTTTAATTAGCAGGTAACAAAACTTATGTAATGTAATGTATAAAGATGGATTCTAATCTTTTTAACATTGGCCACCAGTTTAATAGCGTGTAAAATAATTAGTTTGTTTTTTCAATTTTTTTTTTGTTCAGAGCTTAAAAGTAGGCTCTGCCCTCTTTGCACCATCTTTCCAATAAAACTACATTTTAAGAGGATTATAAGCAAAAATTGTCACTTACAGTAGCTTTAGCTGCAATTCCATAAGTGCATTTCATATCTCTGAATTGTTGATGGATAGTCACGCCTTTTGCTTCATTGTCTCCATCGCAGTCCAGCTTAAAACCTTCACACCACACGCCACCAGCACGATCTTCTTTTATTCCCTGGCCATTTTTAAAGGTGAAAATAATGCTGACTTGAAGATCATCACTGCTTTCATTTTTTACCTCCCAAACAAAAGCACCAACTGGCAAACTTGTTTCCTAAGAACGAAAATATTTTTAACATGAGTAAATGTGCTATATTTTAGTTAAAATTACAGTGTATTAAATTGCTATTTAGAATTTTTTTGGTTGTATATTTTTTTACCACTACTTAAGAATACTTAGTCAAAGAAAAAGTGAATTTTAACTACATCTTAAACAGTACAACAAACACAATTAAAAGCTCAAATAACAAGAGATGGTCATATGCATCATTTAATTAAAATTACAGTTAAAATTACAGTGTATTAAATTGCTATTTAGAATTTTTTTGGTTGTATATTTTTTTACCACTACTTAAGAATACTTAGTCAAAGAAAAAGTGAATTTTAACTACATCTTAAACAGTACAACAAACACAATTAAAAGCTCAAATAACAAGAGATGGTCATATGCATCATTTAAAAAAAAAAATTAACAAGTCTCTAAGAAAAACTTTATTGAAAAACTGACATTAGTAAAAATCAAAATGATTACAATTCTTTTTGGAAATTTCTGCAGCATAAAATCGTTTTCTGTCATTATTACATTATATGTCTGAGCTAAACTGAGCTGTATTTGAAATTAATAATACTCACTAAGTAATTATGTGGAATAACAGGAGATATTTGTCTACAGGTCAGAGTAATCTTCAGCTCTGGAATATAGAAGATGCTCCAGGCTCTAGGATAAAGTGCATGATAAATACAGTTTTCTGGAGAAAATGACCAGTCCCAAGATTTAAGAGCTGTCCTTTTCTTTCTCGGCACACAAGACAAAACTTTTTGGTATATAGTTACATCATTTTTCCTAATGCATACTATAAACTAAAGAAGAAAAGAAAACAAATATTCAAACAAATAATACATCTTAAATAAAAATATTTTGACCAAGTAGACTTTGGCAATACATAATTGTCTTATAAACTGAAAATAATCAAATATGATAGTACCTGGTCTGCATCAATTGTTTGATAATGGTAGATGCCAGGAACCATTTGAAACCTGCAAAACTCTCCTTTGTACCCTCTACCAATAGTTCCACTTCCAATGCCTCCAAGGGGACAGCCTGATTATTGAAGGGAAAATTATGTATTTTAAGAATGCATAAGTTTCTAATAATCAATTCTTAAATAAAGTAATCATATTTTTCAAATACATTTTTTCGAAACATACCATACATAGGCTTGTGCTTTGTTTGGTTTAGATGATCAATAAAAGGTCTTCTACCCTGTCTCTTTTTCTCCAACCAGAATTTGGTATACCTTTACAAAGGCATTTAAAAAATACCAATAAACCGTTCATAATTACAACCATTAAATCTGAGACATAAAAAGAAAAAAAATGTAAATGAGAAAAACACAACTTACCTAATTCCAAGGCCAACATATTGAGGGATTTGATTTAACCTAGGTTTTGCAAATGGTGTGCATTTTATATTACAATTATAGGTTAAAGGAACACGCCATCCATGGTCTGGAATACCAATTATGTGTTTCCTTGGAGTAGTTAAACTTTCTTCAGGTGCTGTACAATACATCATTAAATTTCCTGTAAGAGTTTATTCCTCAAAGATCTATAAAAAATAAACAAAATGGTTTGATCATTCAGATAAATATATTAATTCAATAAGAAAAACTAATGATACCCAACCCTAGTTAGTTGTTTTTTTTTTAAATCATTTAGGCATACATCATTATTTTGTTTCAAAACCTAGGATAATGTAGGTTTTTTTAATCTAGTAAAAATTTTAAAATAATGAGGTTATATGGATAAAAATTAGATATCTATACAGCTCTTTTAGAAATTCAACTATTTGGACACAACAGTGGTTACATGGGCTTGCACTGTAGGCCTCACAGTCAGAATGACCATGAAAAAGCAAGTAAGAGGTGTTTTGTGTTATGGAGAGACATGCAGCAAAGTGTCAGTAAAGCTGAGTAAACTTAATTGATGGAAATAGTGCATGTTTGCGCATTTCTTTTTCATACATAGTCTTTCAAATTGATTTACCTTGTTTTTTTACTAGCAATACAAAAATAAAGAAAAAATATATTGGATTAGATTATTCAACCTTTTTGTTTAAAAAAAAAATGATAGGCCCTAAGTGGAAAATTATCAATTTTTTCCTGATGACGATTATTAATATTAGGATTAGGGTCTATTAAATTATTATTAGTTGTAATATAGTAAAGTTATAGGCCTAGTTAATGTAAGTTAATTAGGCCATAGATTCTAGATAGACTACTGACTACAGTCTACACTCTACACAGTCACTAGACTCAGACAGATCTTGTCCTCTGAAATGAAAATAAATAGATCTAGTAGGCGCCCCTACTAGTACTAAATAGTTAAATAAATAGATTCTAGTATCATAGGCCTTACGTCGGCTATGGTCTATGACTATGACCTACTATGCCTATGGTTAGAATAATGTTTTTTTTCACATTTTCAACTTGGATTAGTAATAATTTAAAATCTAGATCTAGATATAGATCTAGATCTAGTAAAGTTAGTAAAGTAATTAGTAAATGTTTAACTTATTCTTTAACAATGTACGGATTGTACGGGCTCTAAAAAGTGTGGTTAACAGCGCCCTTCTTTACCCTAATTTTTTTTTTAATTTAGGACTAGGCCTGCTCATAACACAAGAGTTAGATCTAGATTCTAGTAGTTAGAATCTACTCTAGATTCTAGAATTTAGTAGTTAGTTAGGCCTGTAGTATTCTATATCTCCAGATTCTAGACTACTTCTCTTTGATGCGTTTAGTTTGCATTGTCGCCCTTGTGGTATATCTAAACTCTAGGCTAAACGATAGAAACAGTGAACTAGATCTAGATTCTAGATCTAGATTTTGACAAACGTCGACGTTTTACAGAAATTTACTATTTAGCATTATTTAATCTACGATCATTCACAGAAGCGTTGCGAGGCGGTGGCGTGGGGTGCGATCCGCACCGGATGACACCATTTGGGGGGGGGGGGGTAACACCAAGACAAAAAAAATTGTAAGATTTAGGCCTATAGTAACTATAGTATCAGATGCGAGGCTGGGGCGGGGGGTGCGGACCGCTCCGGGTGACACCAAGACACAAAATTGCAAAATATGTAGAAGAAAAATGCTTTTTGCGAGTTCAATTAATGATTAAATAGAGTTAAAAACTTTTTAAAGTTTAAAATTGACGATCCCGACAAAGGAGGGTCTGGTGGTGACACTATGAAGTAAACCTGCTAACTATTGAGAAAACCATGAAACGTTTCTTTGTTCCACTTGAAATAAAATAATACGTTCACAAATTCACGCGATTTGGCACAATGGTGACACCAATTGTCAATAAATATATGTATGTATACAGCCTATATTTTTTGTACTTGGTGGGGAGGGGGTGACACCATGAGGTGCCGCACCGGGTAACACCCGCCCTAGCGACGCCACTGTATAGAATAAACATGAATTTTGCCCGCTCAATGAATGTTTAATTAGAGTTAAAAAGTTTTAAGTACATATTACGATCCCGACGAGGGAGGGTGGGTGACACCATGTCGTAATGATGAAAACTATAGAGAAATCAATGCTATATCATTAGTATTAGATTTGAACACTCTAAAGATTTTAACAGAAGTGTGGGGGGGGGGGGGGAGACACCAACTGCAAAATTTACAGAGAAAAATAAGGGGTCATCAATAATGACGTTTCGCTTTTTTGACGATTTTTACCCACCACCCCCTCTTTCAAGTATCGTCACAAAAAGCCAAACCTTCCACACTAAAATGACGTCACATCTCAGCCCCTCCCCCTCAAAATTACGGTTGAACTCTGTCAACATAGAGTATTTTAATCAATTCCTATTACAATTTATTAAAACAGTTTTCTGAAACGCGAAATAACTGCTAAAGTTCGTTTTTAACATTGCTTTTTTATAATGATAAAGTGTGACGTCACACCATCTGACCCTCCCCCCTCTCATCACACACAGTCACCAAATCACGGACCCCCCTACGAGTGTGATGTCATTAATTGGACGACCCCCTAAGGGAGCTGACACCATGAGGTGCCGCACCAGGTGACACTGTCCATTCCTGAGTTTAAAAAAACAAAACAGTATTAGTAAACAGTATACAGTATTGTAATATTATTGTATCAGTATAGGTTAGAGTATAGATCTAGAATCTACATACTTATGTAGATCTAGTCGTTTGTGGGTGTCACAATGTCAATGAGTTACCGACCTAGATAGAATCTAGTAACGTCACTATAGTAATGTAATAGATCTAGATCTAGATAAAGTATGAATGTGATACATTCGAATGTTAAATAATCATCCAATTTTAGATATTATTACAAGCTTTTATTTAACTTGCGTCCTCTTATAGCTATGTATATTTTATTTTCTACTTTATAGTGCATTATTACATAAAAGCTTGTTGTTAAAACGTTTGTTATGAATTTGTTTTGGCTGTTTTCCCAAGTTGCGACACTTAGAGATTTACATAATAATAATAATAACAGTCAGGAACTGTCTAAACTAAAAACTAAAACTAAAAAGTAATATTATTTATAGAAATCTATTATAATATAAATGTAGGCCCATGACGTTAATTATTATTAATTATATTTTCTAGGCTTCACAGTGAGTAGTAGCCATTCTTCAGTTGAATCATTCTTTCTTTCTATTTCGTGAGTATTTCTACAATTTATTAGGGCAGGGTAATCTTAGATTATGTAGTCTTAGATTTTAGTATTTTTAGATCTATCGTTTTTTTAGCCTAAAACTTTTACTTTTAGGTGTAAAATCGCCCGCGACTAGTAATGTGAAAAACAGGTGACTCCTTAAACTTTAATAATTATTTCACATGAGCCGGCCCGCGGCATAACATACGCCGCTATTTAGTTGTTGTTTTTTCGGTAATCCCTTAGTTTAGCGTCGGAAATTATCGGGTAATGTTTGCTAGTTTGTTGAGTTTCGGTAACTAGAGTTACGGTAAACCATGGTTTATTTGACCATTGAAATATAAATAAATTGAAAGTCGATTGTAGTAAATTGTTTTAATTTTTTAAGTTTAATCGACTAAAGGAAACAAGAATAAATATAATAGTAGATTTAAATTAGTAGATCTAAAAATTTAAAAAAAAAACATAGATCTAGGCCTATATTAATATAAATATAAATAATGAAGTCAAATTTAATAATTTAATGTTTTTGGCTTGCAGCGGATTTGCGACCATTAATTAATTAGATCTAGATCTAGCTAGATATCTAGCTGCTAGACCAAGTAAAAAAATCTAGATTAAGAATATAGTAAAAATGATTACAAAATGTAAAAATGATTACAAAAATAAATCTATCCAAAATTTAAACATTCTGTATAAAAATAAAAGATGACGCCAAATAAAGTATGGTTTACAGTACTTCCGGTGAATTCCGGAAGTGTGTGACAGACTTTGGCATTGTTTTACTGTTTTTTACTGCTATACGATTCCGGAATAATAACCGACGCTAAACTAAGGGATTACCGTTTTTTCTACTGTTCAGTAATTCATAATTTGTGAATTCGACAGTACCAACGCTGACACTGAAAATATTTCTTTAAAACACTATAAGTAGCTCGTTAAGGACCATAACCCATCCCTTCCTCCCCCCCCCCCCCCCCCCACGTTTAAAATCGTTTCAAACTAAATTATCTGCCCCTAATAGCCGTCACTAAACCCGACTCCACGAAGGTAAACATAGCGTGAACCACAGCTCACTAAGACCATGTAGGGGTGGGGATGGTAGGGAGCACGTTTACAGCTTGTTTTCTAGCGTCTCCCAGAAGAGAATTATATATATAGATTATGAGGAGGATTTATGTTTTGAAAAATACAAAATGTTTCCTTGTTTCATTTATGTACCTGTTTTTAAACAACTGAGTTAAAACTTTTCAGTAATAAATGAAGACTAGCGATGTATCCAACAGATGCAATCATGCTCATTTACTATATCAGCCATCTTGTTTATTTTATTTTACTGTAAACTTATAGCGCAAGATTCAGGGGAAGCCACTCTAACTACTGATGGCCGCTTTTTATGTAGCAAATCCTGCTCGCAAACACTGCTGTTTAAAGTTAATTTCTTCCCTATATTGATATATTTAGCCATTGATTTAGGTTTATTATTCATTTATCTATAATATTTGACACAAATAGATCTATATCACAATATACTTCTATTAAAGCCTTGACAATGAGGTAACTTTTTCGTACATTACTAGCCGTCAAAATGGCCCCGTTAATATGACCCCGTCAAATCGACCCCCGACAAAACGACCCAGTCAAAAGGGCACTGACTTATTGGCTCCTGTCAAATGGGCTCCCGTCATATTGACTCGCGACATATAGGCTCCCGACTTTTGCGGACACGTGGACTTTAATTGGGAGTTATTTTTTTAATGTATGTTTATGTAGCATTAAGTATAATCAATAATCATATAATGTCTATCAATTACGTTTAAAACCAGACAGATGATGTCATAAAATGAATGGGTTCTAAATGCCAGAAGAACACAGTTTACTAAATGGATTGTATGATTTTGTCAAAAAATAGGCCTATAAAAAATAAATAAAAGGTTTGTAAAGAATTTTTTTATAGTCTACACTCTACAAATAGTTTGTGAAGTTTAATATTCTAAATTTGGAATCTTTGATGTTAAAACGCAAAGTAATCAATCACCTATCATTGATAAGATTTCAATAGACATATATTCATTTTTTATCAGAATAAGCAGAATATAATGTTGGAAGTAGTAGCAAGTCTCCCGCGAGGTCCAGTCTTTCTTGCTGGGGAAACAATTGTTTGTGATGTAACATTCACAAACACATCTTCTGATACTCAGTATGTATAAAAAAATATTAAAAAGCTATGAGTTGTTTACAATTTTTTAAAATAGGCCATCTACTCATCTCTAGTATTCTAATTTTATTAAGCATCATGTTACTTAAAATAGTCTCTCTTGTAGGTCAGTGGATGAAATACTGGCTTGGTCAAGTGTCCAGATTATCTGCCAATGCACAGTAAGTGAATCTAGGGTTCTTCTACCTCGAAGAAGTATTTTGTCCACTGAGGAAGCATCAACCACTGGCTGTGAAACATCTTTTGTTCCGAACAAAGGTAATAAATTTAGTGACTAAAACAATTGTTTCTCATGCTGACAATGTTCTTTTGGATTTACTTTCCAAGGTTAATATGTTGTTTGGAGGATATGTTTGTTTCTTCTTTTGGTTTTTTAAAAGTTTCGTGTCGGTTGCTGTCAATAAGCTTGGTTATCTAACCTGACTTATGAAAATTTGAAAACACCAAAAATAGTACTAACATCTTTAGAATTAGATTTTTCCCTCTTACATTTTGTGCAGGCTAGTGCTTAGTATTTACAGTCTTTAATAACGCATACTAATATATTTGAAAGCTTGTTAAGTATAGATAGCCGTAGATACAAAATTCAACAAATAATTAAATTAAAAAGAAAACTTAGTCAATTATTATATTGCTTACATTTTCATTTTATGAATGTCACAATCTCTTTTGTCTTTAAATCTCTCAGTTGTCCGTTGTTACTTCTTGAGAAATAAAGTGTTATAAAAATATTAAGACTAAAAAAGTGGTATAAAAATATTAAGACTATTTAAGGGAATACTTTTATTTATTTGCAGTGTCAGAGATGCCATTTTAAATGTTTTTCTGTATATTATTTTAGACTGATTTGCAGCGTGTAATATTTTTTTGTAATAATAATATTCAGTGGTAAAATTGTGCTGGTTTAAAATTAAGCTGAACACCATTTTTTTAATAAGGAAAAATTAAACCGGATGTTTTTAAAATTCATAAATAAATATCAGAATAGTTGGAAATTATTTTTTTTTCAGCTGCAGTAAGTTAAATTTAATTTTTATGAAATTGTGTTTGCCTCAACCTTAGGTATGAAACAACAAATGTGTTACACATCATTTCTAACTTGTAAACTACAGTAAAACCCTAGGTTAACCAATTTGATGTGACGCTTGATAATATTTGTTCACCAAAACATTTATCAACCAAACAGACATTCACAAATTTTAGAGAAAATGAGCACACAAATTTGTTAAACCAGCAGTGTTATTTAATAAAGAAACAGTCACAGTATTTGAGGAAAAATATTATCTTTGAAAGTTTGATTTTAATCTTTTTTTTACCTCATTAGTATTAATTTCAGCATCTAATTTATTTTTTCAGTTGACTTCATATAGCATTGTAAATAATTTATTTTACTTAGGCCTAATTGAATGTAAACTATCTTACATGAAGAGTTATTTAATGCCAAATATTACAAGCAAACCTCCACTAAAAATAATGTTATTTTTTACCTTTTGTTGTGTTGAGGTGGAGTTGAAAATATGTGCTTTGGAGTTAGCTTTATTTATTAACATTTATTTTTACCATGTCTTTTGAAAGTGACACCTTTTATGTTATAATGAGAAAATGTAATTGAAATCACAATTTTTGTGCTATAGTTTAGTATCTCTGGAGTTTCAAGTTGCCAGTAGAATAAGACACTATTTTAAAATGGTCACAAAAAAAAACAATTTCTCATAAGTTCAAGTTTCAGATATTTTAAAGTGGCCACAGCCCTAAGACAGTACAATTCTAATACAATTTTAGCATTTAAATCTATACAAATTGTATTTAAGTACTGAACACTAAAAAATCCTGTATGTTAAAAATGTCTTCTTCATACTGAAAATAATGTGAACAATAGTTACTGCTTTACCTTTTAAAAAATAGCATAATGCTGTTTAGTTTTATTAATCCAGTCTGTTCAGTGATTTTTTTGTTGAAGCGTAAAGTACCTTTAGTTTGTCAAAATGTTATTTGTTACATGGTCATTTTTTTATTTTCAAACACACTCTTTAAAAAAAAAATGTACAAGTATGTTATTTGGTTTAATATGATTTAGATTTGAAATTTGTTGTTCAGATTTTAAAATTTGTCTCTCCTAAAAATGAAGAGTTTTCATGTTTTGTCTAAGTTTTATTAAACTAAAACTAGATCTAGCTGTGTGTAACAGGCTGCTGCATGTTATGTTTTATTTATTTTTACTCACTGTAGGTACACTAATTTTATCTGGAGAAGGTTTGTCTTTACTCATCTTTATTTCATTAATTTGTTACACATTTATCCATCTAAGGGTGATGAACTTTTATTTCCTTAAGAATACCATTGTGTTTAGCTATGGATGTTTCCATATACATCTAGAGGTCAGGCTTTATTAGCTTTTAGATATTGTACATTTTGATCATTGTCTGTGTATATACAATCAATCCCTCTATCCCAGTAAAACATGCTTAGAAAATTGGACTATGCTTCAGAGAATGGTGAAGTTTAAATAAAATGTTGCAACTTTAAAAACAATTTCATTAATAATTAGATTATCAGGTTAATACAACCATGTGTTAGTACAGTTTAGAAAAACTAGAAGCCTTAGTATCCCTAGTTTGTTTTAATTTGATATAGCATAGTCTGAATTAAAATTCCAAGATTCTATTGTGTTCTCTTTTCCTAAAATTCTAAGAATGCATGTGGTTACATTGCTAATACTAAACATATGTTTGGCATCTCATTCTATCTGTATTTGAACAATTAACCTTATAATTTTGATTTCCTTGAATTGCTTTCAAATGGGCTCATTGGTTATGCTAATGTGTAAGCTAAAATTGTAACAAAACAAGGTATTCTGTATCTCTAATTCCAAAAAAAAACAAATCGTTTGTGTATTTATCAGCTTGAAATAATACCATCATTGCATCCCTCACCATTTTTCAACGGATTTAAAAGAATTAATACTTTTTATTTAAATGTATGATAGTTTCAAATAATTTTTAGAAATGATTACTAATCTAAGCTTAGTTCATATTGACTGGAATCATTGACTGTTATGTATTCTTTGAACAGACTTGTCTCTGTTTTTTATGGGTCTGTCTTTTTATACAGGTGAACGAGGTTTAACTGTTCTGTGTACTAAACCTAAGATTTTATTTTGTGATCTTAAGCTGTCACCTGGTTCTTCAAGATCTTGTAAGTTGATACAATATATGTTCATTTTTTTATGAGAGATTTCTTTGTCTTTTGGTTTTAAAAGATCTTACAAGAAATAATAATTATCCACTTTTTTATAAAGTAAATTCAACTTAAAAACTTACAATGAATTAAGCTAATTTTAATAATATCCAAATTTAGATCAGTTTGAGGAAGTGATCCCCACTGATGCCCCTCCATCATTCAGAGGACAAGCAGTGAAATATTCCTACAAGGTTATAGTTGGCACACAAAGGCTAGAGAAAGCAACCAAAATGCTCCGAGTACCATTCAGAGTTTTGGTCTTGTATGGTTGGTAGTAATAATTTTCATTTATCGCTAACTTTTGTATCAAAACAATTTTCCCTTAGAAAACTATCATCATTACTTGTAATATATGAATCAAAAAATATTTTCACCTATATTTATCTTCCTTTTATAGTTTCAACAAGTGTTTTTTTTTTTTTTGCGCAATAGTCCTATAATAAAATTTCTCCCCCTAGGTCTGAATGACATTAGTGTTTACAATGAGACAGAGGAGATAGCACCAAGCAATCCATTTTTACACAACCACAGAAAAGAAAATTCTGTTTTAGATGTTGCACTGCAAGTCATTTCTACTGTGACAGCCAGGAAGGCTCCTCGTAAGTGTACCTTGCTGAATTTTAAAATCACATCATCTCCAATGACTTGACTATGGTAAAAAAATTATTTACATGTGCTGTGATATTGTTGGCTAGAATGTCTTCCCTGTCCATAAAATATGCAGTAAAAGAACTTTTTAGATATATTTTTATATTGGCTTAAACATGATTTCCCTCAGACTCATACAACATCACCAACGCTCGCGGCAGGGTTGCTAAGTTCCTGCTTTTTAAACAGGCTTACAAGTTGGGTGAAGACATTGTTGGCATGTTTGATTTCAGTGTTGGTACTGTCACTTGTGTTCAAGTAAGACATCAGTTGTATTGCATTTTTAATAAGATCATAGTAAAAGTGTTTTAAAAAATTCATATGAATCAAGTGGTAGAAAGTTTAATTGTTTTTACAAGTTAGTAGTTTAAACATTACACGTTACTGTTTATTTCAAAATTTAAATGGCCCTTTTAGTTAAGTATTTTAACATTGTATTTTTAATTTAGAACAGATGGTATTTTTAAGGAGTACTATGAAAGATGAGATAATGGAATCTACTTTCAGTATTCTGTGACATTACAAAGTGAAGAGCAGATCTCAGAAGAATGTAGACGTAAACCAAGTCAGGGGACAGCTGTGACGTCCTATGTGAAACATCAAGAGATGTGTCTGCACACCGTGAGAACTCACATGAACATTCCTATACCACTGACTGCCACGCCTGGCTTTATAACTGATATTGGTATGGGAATTTTCAAAGCAACAGATTTTAGTGTTGCGATAGTTTGGTTTTAAAAAGCTTTAGTGAAAAATGTTTCATGTAACACCCAAAAATACATGAAGAATGGGATTTATGAAAATAAAATAAAATTCCAAATTTTGTGCTTGTCAAAAGATGGTGATCACATGGACAAAAATAAATTGTTCTCTACTATTTAAAGTTTTATGACTAGCTACTTGCTCTTTTTAATTTTTAGCGCAATTTCCTTACAGGAATTGCGATTATTAACTCGTCATTTCTGGATGGATGTGTGTCCGCAGCTTTAAGTCGTATCTCCTCCTCAACGAAGCAATATCGAGGACTAGTTCCAAAAGCAAATATGTTAAGCAAGTTCCGAGGATGATTGTGGGCCAAAAAAATTCCCGGAATTCCTTCCTGGATTTCCACAAAAAGCCAAAAAAATTTGAAAAAAAAGCAGTTTTTGGTCCATATCTCGGCAACTAGACCACTTAGCGACTTGAAACATTTACCAATCGATTCCTGCCATAATTTAGAACAATATTGCCGAAGAAAGTTTTCAAAAATATCCTTTCGTTCGGTCACAAAAAATTAAGGAAATTGCGCTTAAATTGTCACTAGACTTTTTATTAACTTGTTTTACATGGTCCAAAAAAAAGCTGTAACATGCTAAAATAATTAACTGCATTACTCATCAGGAAAGGAAAAGCAGGATACTTTTTCATGAATAAAGCAAAACAAATAGTATAAGGTACACAGCAGCACCAAAATACATTAAAGAATAAAACATACGAAAAAAATATTCTTTTGCTTTCTTTTATTTGATGCTCACATTTTTTATTCAAACTATGCAATTTAACAATTTATTTTGGTTTGCTTACAGTTTGCCAAAGGTGGAGGCTCCATTTTGAATTTGTGACCTCATTTGATGATGTAAGTGGTCCAGATAGTTTACCCTCTGATGGTGAGGAGAGGCAGTGGCAGGGACCATCAACCCTCAATGTAGAGACCATGATTTGGGACCTGCCCATTAAAGTTTTCCCCACTAATCCCATTCACGCATCCAGTGTTACCCTACTGAAAACTTCATCGGCTATTCATATGTCCCATTAATTTCATTTGTATAGAATTGATAATGTAAATAGAAATTGGGAATGGTTTGTTACGAGGTTGTTGGCTTTATCTTCCGTTGTAAAACTGAGCATTAACCTTAATGTTCAAAGAAAATTTTCATGTGCTTTTTTCTATTGTAGTCTTAGGTTTAGTGGGATTTTTGTGACCCTTCACTTAAAGACACAATCCTTGACTGAAACAATTCAGGTTGAATGTGAATATGTAAACTAAGACTATACTTGTTACAATAACACATTTTTTTTACTACTTTTAGTAGTAATATGATTATTGAATGTATCTTGCTTGTGTGCCAGACATTCAATGTGTGTTGCTTATGTGCAAGAGAGACACCCAACCATTGCATGTGTTTCTTATGTGAGACACCCAATAATTAAATGTGTGTTTCTCATGCGAGACACCCAATCATCAAATGAGTGTCTCATGTGAGACAACCAATCATTAAATGTGTTGCTTGTGTGCCAGACACCCAATCACTAATTGTGTTTCAATCCAGTTGATGTTTGCAGCTTATCGTTTACCTTACTTTTAAGGGGCAAGGCTGTTATTTATTTATTTACATAATTTATTTTTGGCTATAGACATGTTAGGAGACTAGTATTGTGCATTTTGTAAAATAGCAATAACAACTTGTTACTACTTTTTTTTCTTCTAATTCCTTTTGGCTCCGAGTTGGATAGGGCAGTGATTACATTTCACTAATGAACACAATTAGCATATTTGTTAAATTCGTCATAAAATTCCAGCCTCCCCATCTTTCTTTCAAACAATCTCCTCTACGGAATTTAAATTTTCTTCCTCTAGGTCTTCTCTCCACCCTAATATCATTCTTTTATTTTGTCCTCCTCTGGTACTTGTCTGCATATCTCTCATAGATGGCAGTCAGAAATTTTGTCTGACTATTGCACTTTCAAGATGTTAGTACTTTCATGTACTTCATCTGTTCCCAGGTGTCATCAACCTTTTGTCAGACACTTCAAAGAAAAAAATATTTCCTTCATGACTGCTCTTATATAAAGAAAAGATGTGCATTTAATTATTTAAAAAATCTGCTCTAATAAGAGGTTGATGATAACCTACTCTGTTTTATTATTAGCATATTGTGATGTTGGCACTGGCTCATGAAGACTTTGTCTTGTTACTATCAGCATGTTTATTATTGTACTAAGTACTTCAGTCATCAGGAAAACTGCCAAAAATCAGCTTTTCTCAAAGTTTTGTTTGAAATCTATACAATCTGGCAATAAATCCTAATTAGTATATGGCAATCAGTCATGATCAATGTATCTCACCATTGCAATACTCTAGTGTACCCTTTGACTGGACAAATATTTCTGATACATTTCAGCCCTGTACACTATTTTATGAAAATAAAAATGTAATGTTCACAATGTTATTTTTTTTTCAATTGTATGAAATTAACAAAATAATTTATAAATTAATTAACTACATTGATCACAGTTTTTATTACAATATTCATCTTGATCATTTGATCATCATCCAGCGTGAGAACAAAACTTTCAATTTATAACCAGCTCTAAGCTGTACGGTTGCCAGGCAACATGTCCTCCAAGTCAGCCAATGTAAAGGCAGTAACTGCCCAGACAGCAGCACACAAATCCATTTGCTTGCTGTCCTGCACTGTCATGGTGTCTCCCTCACTGTGATGGAAGTCAAAGTAGTTCCCATTGTCAGTTTTAATGCTTGCAGCTGGTACACCTACATTTGGCCAGTCAAATATGTCTGACATCTCAGCCCCCTGGTCAACCAGCGTGGCATTAACCCTGGCCAGCAGAGATAAAGCCAGGTTTTTCATGATCTTCATGGCTTCATCTGAACCTGTGAAGCCCAGCCCTTGTGGGGTAAATGTTCCCATGTCGGACTCCATAACAATGTCAAAGTTCTTTGACTCGTTTTTGTGTACTCTAAAGTAGTCCTGGCCGCCCCACACACCAAATTCTTCGCACGTCCACAGGACCACACGAAGTGTTCTCTTGGGTCGTAGGCCTAGTTGCCGCACCAGGGATAGGGCCTCCCAAGATATGAATGCCCCACCCCCATCATCCATGGCTCCTTGGCCAACATCCCAACTGTCAAGATGGCCACTGACTAGAACAACCTGAAATAAATATTTGTAAAGTTTACCAAACGTTTAAAAATCGATATTCAGAAACTAATTGAACACAAACAGTTACCAAGCTAAATATTTATGAGTTGTATAGGCCTACTCACTAATTTTAAATAAACTACTTAACTGAAGCACTCTCTTTTACAGTTTTTAGTCAATGTGTAGTTTTCATAAATTATGTGTGGTTTACTTCACGATTTATAAATAAATAGACCAATATTTTTAGCTACAATCTCAAACTTAAATTATTTAAGTTGGAAAGTGTTCAGTGTATTTAAAATACATAGTACATACACAAAGTGTACATCAAGCTAACAAAGTGGACAATGTACAGCTGGAACATAAAGTAGTGTATACAAAGTACAAAAATGGACAGCAAACATTAAGCAACAAAAAGTACACAGTGTACATAAAATACATAAGTAGACAGTATACACTAAGCCCATAGTGTACACTAAGCACACAAAGTAGAAAGTATGCACTAGGCATTAAATACTAAAATGCAGTGTACACCAATAATAAAAAGTAGTGTACACCAGGCATAAAGGGTATATAGTGTACATCAAGCATGTAAAGTATACAGTGTACAGAAAGCATGTAAAGAAGACAGTATATACCAAGCATGGAATAGTAAATTACACATTATGCAACAAGCATGTAAAATAGACCTGCATATAAACAAGCACATTAACTGGACAGTGTACACAAACATTTAAACTATGTACACATCAAGCATTAAAAGTAGGCAGTGTTGACCAAACATAAGCTGGACAGTGTGCAATAAGCACATAAAGTAGTCTTCAAACACCAAACACAAAATTAAACACCTGTTCAGGGTAAGTGCTGCCTTTGATTTCTGCCACAGTGTTATACGAGGTGAGATAGTTGAGGTTCTGAGCCTCCATGTAAAGAGTCACTGTGATTGGCTCACCCCTGCTGGATATCCTCCACATCAACTCCGCATCTTCAACTGTTATACATGCTGTTGGAATCTACAGTTGCAATAGTTAGGAAAAAAATATAATGGTAGACTACTTATAATTTATAACTACCCCTTTGCTAATCTCCAGTATTTCTTCCAGACTTTTTTCTCCGGGGAGGGGGTACTTGAAATTTTCAGGGGGGGGGGGGCAGTAAACTTTCTTCGGGGGGGGGGGGCAGAGACTGTTAAAAGTATATATGTTCTATATAAATTATATAAATTTCATTTTTTTCGGGGGGGGGGGGGGCGGAAATTTTTTTTAAAAGAGATGCCTGGAAGAAACTCTGTTAATCTCAATGGAATATAATTTAGAGAACTATCAATAATCTACTCAATATTCCCCTCCCTCCACCCCATACCATTGGAATAATGTAAAGGGCTAGAGATATTTTACAATCACTCCAATCTACATAACTGGAAAAGAAGCTTTTCTCTGAATGCTCAATCCCTTATTTCGACACTGGTTACATGATTACACATAAGGCTTGTAAGTATGTCACTTATTTCTCATTTCTCATACTTGCCAGCTAATATTTTTCAAACCAAATGTGAATATTTTTATTAAATCAGTTAAAATAATAATAGAAAAATTCCATGTTTTTGCTATCAATTGGAATCATGTTCAAAACAATTAATTCAGTTCGAAAATGTATATCTCTCCCTGGCTAATAAGATTTTGAATTTAAAGCAAGACTTACAAGCCAAATTGGGTTCCTGTACAAACACTAAAACGTTTCTACTTTTAAGTTTTTGAATTTTGATTAATTAACAATACAAGCTGTTTCTAAATTTTCCACAGAATGACAGCTCTTCATTTAATATTCTTTTATAAAAAGGTTTTGATTGAAAATTATATCAAAATACATCTAAAACTCAGATTTTCTGAAGCATTAACTTGTTTTTATGCCCACCTTCTTTATGTTATCATCATAGGTTTGTTCCCCAGTATGTGGGCTGTACACAGAAAGGGGTGTGGCACTTCTGACTAAAGATGCTACAGCACCCAATTTAGCTGCCTCTGTGGCTCCCCTGCTTCTGTAGGCCACACTCTGTCTTGGAGAGTAAATTATACATTGACAGTTTTATAGACCAGCCAAAAAAAAAATATATAAATCGTTTTACAAAGTTGGAAGTAGGAAACATATAAATGTTATAGGGGATTGTGAGTGTGCTGAGTAAGACTGTAAGAGTGTTGTTTTGCCAGCCTGATGTTTCCCAGTTATCTACCAAATGTTGAAACTGATTAATGGTTACATTTACAGCTATTAACTAGATAATGACCTTATGGTTTAGCACAAACATGGTTTATTATTTACCACTATGGTATTTATTATTTATATAGACATATAGAAAATGCCTATTACATGTAAGAATAATGTATTTTTTCGTCAAGCTTATGGCATATAAAGTTTATTTTTAAAATAAAATAAAAAATTACCCATAATTCTCCCAAATTTGGTTATAAACAACAATCTTTCCTTTTGCTTCACTTGCACGTGCATGCAGCTCATCAAAAGAGCAAACCTTAAAGAGTGTAATAGTAAAATGTATTGCTGTATCTAGTCAGTCTAAGTACTAAATAATAAACTATGGTACAGATTCAAACATTATTAGTATTTTGTATTTTCATTAAGATTAAAAATTAACTTTATTATATTTTTGTTTTATAAAAAACAAAGTACATCAACTGACATATCAATCTGTTTACATAAGGTGGGGAAGGGCGATCAATATATGTTAACACACTATTTAGCTGATTTTGATTTCCCCATCTAATTACCACAAAAGAGCCAGCCTAAATAACCATAACTCAGTGTAAACCTACATATTCAACAAGTGTCTGATAAAATAAATAAAATGTCTAACAAAAATCATCTTAAAAAACTGGTGTTAGATTACTGGGAGTAAATTAGTAATTGATAAAACTTGTTAATGTCAATATTAGCCCTATCCCTAGCTAAGAATCTTACACTCAGATAACATAACTTGTGCATGGTTCCAAATGTTGATTGTGCGTTATGAAGAGTTCCTTGCACATTTTCTTAAAAAGTGGTAACAGAAGAAGGTATATACATTTTGTTTAAAAGTGGAAACTGAGAAGATATTATGCACAAACACCCCAACAGTCAACCTACACTAAGGGGCAGAAGAAAAATAGCTCTAACACAAGTCCTACTATTAAAACATTACCAACAGCCTCACACAATTATTTTTTAAGTGTCTTTATATTGTTAGACACTGGTACCGCAGACACTCTTGTATTTTAAACAGAAATAAGTTGTAAAAATAGCTAGAGACTGACTACTAAGACTTGTGCAGTGATCCCTTCCTTGGGCGTGCCAACACTGAATCCAAGTCCTAGAATAGATAACTTTTTTCTACGTGGAGAGATCATATAGGCCCATTCATTGCCACGGACCCAATGTGGAATAGTAACTGGTTCCTTGTGGACATTCTCCAAGCCATCTCTCTTGAACTGGTCCACCATGTAGTCTATTGCTTTCTCAAGGTTGTTGCTTCCACATAGTCTAGGATTTAAAAATAAATATTTTAAATTAATTACCTGTTCATTTATAATTTTGAAAAAAAAATTCTATTTGAGTCAAATGAAAACTCTAAAGTTATTTAAAATTAACATGATGTAAACAAATCTAAAATAAGAGATAAACCATGTGTATATATGGGAGCAGGACATTATTCTTCTGTCAGTTAGACCTCTAGCATTTCCCCATGATCAATATCATATTCTACATATTCTACATTACCCCTACCCAAAAACTGTAGCAGGATATTACCCCCCCCCCAGTTGATTAATCATAAACCCTATACCAATAGGGATAGGCCTACTTATAGGTATACCTGTCCATGTTAGAACTGGGACTAGGATTAATTTTAAGTTTGCAGAGGGTTAGGGGTAGGCTAGGGATAGTGGAAGGGGGGGGGGTGGTGGTTGGGAGCAGGATATATATAGAGATGGATGGGGGGGTATTGAAATGAGGTAATGTCGGAGAGTTATGATCGAGGGGTAATGTCCAAGAATGTAGGCTTATATTCAAGGGGGTAATTGTCCTATGGATGGGGTGTTAAAGGCAGGCTTAGGGAGCAGGGTCATTGACAGTGGCGTGAGATGTCTTGCTCCCTTGAGATTCATGCATACATTTATTGATGACCCACCTGTACCCAAATTGATCTGTCATGTTGGCCAGTCTGTTGTACACTTGACCTTTAGCTGGACCGGTCAGCACATAGTCGATGATTTGATCAGCAACAGATTTATGACTGGCAATGTCTGAAGTAAAACTGTTCAAATCTGTCCATCCTGTCTGGCTAGTGCTGACCAGGGATGTCCACCCAAACAAACACACCGTCAGAAAAAATGAGGTCATGCCGATAATTATCATCATTCTTTGAAGGAAAGTTGGCCTGATTACTTGATCTAGTTTGTAGGCCTAATGATCCTAGTAACTTATATTTATGAATTATGTAGTCCTTTATCCAGTAGATAACAAAATTTTAAAAAGTGAAGATTTTGAAAAGATTAGCAAGGTCCTAAGTAGATTGATAGATATTGGAGATCTATACTGATTAACCTGTTCTCTATAGTCTATCTATAGGCCTACTATCTGAATCTATAGATATACATTTTAGGGTAAAAGGAACCAAGATATTACCTAGATCTAAACTTAAAAGTGACTGTCAATTAAAATATAGGTCTATCCCATAGAGGTGCCTGCAACAGTTACGGGGGTGGTAGTTTACATTATTGTGGCTAATCTAATATTTATCAACAGCTGATACATATCTAAGACATGAAAATAAAGTAAAAGCTCGTAAAAAAACTACACTTTTGGCTCAGAATAGAAACCGTAAGGTGTGATAACTTACTCACTGCAGCTATGCTTTTAGCTTATGCCACATGGGTTGTGGCCCTTTTATAATAATGTATGACCACCTGGCGAACCATTGCATACATTTATTATTCATTGTGTTACAACATATGCAGTTGTCATGCATGTTGAAATATTTTTTTTAGAGCAGCCGTTCCCCCGTTAGTCTAATGAACAATTTAGTTATAGAATATTGTTAATGATAGCCAATAGCCTAAACTTTTAAAAAATTACACGGAAAGGCACTGCTTATTCTGTTGGCTACGAAGTAACAATATTCCCGGTGTTTCTATAAAAATAAAACAAAGACGAACGTTTTAAAAAGAATCCTGTTACAAGAATAACTAAAGGCATGTTTACCCGTTACACTGCTGATGCTGGAGGGGAAGGTGGGGGGGGGGGGGGGGAGGTAGGACATGTGCGGCAACGTCCGTTATCTTAAAAAAAATCATTTGGATAAGGAGTCGTCCATAAACGACGTCACGCTTCTTTGACGCTTTTTAATGCCCCCCCCCTCCCCTCCGTCACACGTCGTCAAAAAAATTCAGACCCCCCCCCTAAAATGACGTCACGCCTAAGCCTACAACCCCCCTCAATTTTTTCTTAAAACATCGATATTTTTCCAAAACTTTGTTAGAACTATGTCAACAGAGTATTTTGATCAATTCATATAACAATTTATTAAAACAGTTTTCTAACACGCTAAATAACGGCTAAAATTAATTTTCTAACATTGCTTTTTTGTAATGCAAAAAAAAGTGACGTCACACCATCTGACCCCCCCTCCCCCTCATCCACACCGTCACAAAATTTCGGAACCCCACCCCTCCCCCCTACGAATGTGACGTCATTTATGGACGACCCCCTAAGGGGTGGCTGAGAATGTCATTTTAGCCAATGGTTCAATTTTTTAAATGACAAACGTAGATGTCGTTCAGTATAGATCGGCAAACGTGGTGAGTTATGAATAACACATACACGCAGTACGTACATGTTAAATAATGGCACACCCCACAGGCCTATATTAAACTATTTCCAAGGGGGACTAATCACCTAAGCCATAGCCTACTGGCAGCTGTACTGCCATGGTCTGTCACTGATCACAATAGTTCTACACGCACTAGACTGTCACTGATCACAATAGTTCTACACGCACTAGACTGTCACTGATCACAATAGTTCTACACGCACTAGACTGTCACTGATCACAGTAGTTCTACACGCACTAGACTGTCACTTATCACAATAGTTCTACACGCACTATGACTATAGACTGTCACTGATCACAATAGTTCTACACGCACTTATAGACTGTCACTGATCACAATAGTTCTACACGCACTTATAGACTGTCACTGATCACAATAGTTCTACACGCACTAGACTGTCACTGATCACAATAGTTCTACACGCACTATGACTATAGACTGTCACTTATCACAATAGTTCTACACGCACTAGACTGTCACTGATCACAATAGTTCTACACGCACTATGACTATAGACTGTCACTTATCACAATAGTTCTACACGCACTAGACTGTCACTTATCACAATAGCCAAGGTCTACGCGCACTAGACTGTCATTGATCACAATAGTTCTACACGCACTAGACTGTCACTTATCACAATAGTTCTACACGCACTAGACTGTCATTGATCACAATAGTTCTACACGCACTAGACTGTCACTTATCACAATAGCCAAGGTCTACACGCACTAGACTGTCACTTATCACAATAGCCAAGGTCTACACGCACTAGACTGTCACTTATCACAATAGGTCTACACGCACTAGTCTTTCACTTATCACGCTACAAACGTCTTAGTTTTATTTGAAACTTGATGTCACCTATCTCACACCTATGATTCATGAAATTTATCCGTACCACGCACAGCCTATGGTCCTTCACATTTGTATCAATTATAAAACATTGTGTTCATACACACAGGGCTACATGCAGGATGTTTTTGTCACGTGATATGACCTGTTTCATATACTAGGCCTATCATCTTTTATCTAAAATCTTTTGTATAGACTGTACGAAGGCCTACTTTGACGATGAAGATCTATCTTATAATAAGTGTCCGATAAGGGATTAGAAACTGATATGGTATCTGAGTTTGGTTTAGAAGTATTAGCCCCGAATAGAGTAACATTTTTTTTTTTTAGACAAAGTCGTTGACTGAAAAATTAAAGCGACCAAAACAACCAATTTTAATAGGAAAATGACTTCGCAGCATTTATAATTTATACAATCTGTAGGCTACAAGGGAGGTAACATTCGTTTGGTCATCTAAGGTCCAATCACAGTGCTTAGCTCTGATGTGTGCTAAGTAATTCATTTTTATCCCCGAACAGATACTAAAGTATACCCTAAGTTGAAAATGCTGAATTAACTTAATATTGTGATAAGAAATGTGTTACCTTTAATTATTTTTTTAATTAAAAAAAAACAATAAGATCTTAAAGAGACAATTATTATTAAATTATTGACACAAGATGTGGTCTATATTAGATATAAGTTTGACAAGATTTATAGAGGACATGATTTCTTAAACCACCTGTTAAAAAAATATTGCAGTGAGAATCTATAGAATACATTTCATTTAAGCTGTAATAATGTCTTGAAAACTATGGGATTATGATGTGATCACAAATTACACAACCAGATAGATTTTAAATATGAGCTACAGTAGCGTACGCAGGGGGGAGCAGGGGGAGCGGCCGCTCCCCCTCCGGCCATTTTCAGCAAAGTGGCGCCTTTTTGGAAACTTTTTAAACTCAAAGTTTTAAACAATGATATTTGTTAAAAAAATATTTTTGGTCGGCACATCTATGTAAATCACAAGATTTCTTTTCATGCAGCAATTAAGTATTATTGTACTAGTCTAGTAGTGTCTACGTTTACAACGCGTATTAACAGCTGCATCAGTTTGCCATTCTAAAAATAACCATTACGATGCATTGCAATGTTTAAAGACCTCTACGGTAGTACCACTTGGCAAGAGGGGTGTTAAGTTTAAGGCAACTGTATAATGTATTAGCTTACGAATAATTGAATTAGAAAATGTTATACATAAAACTTCACACATAATTACTTTATATATACAGTTTGAATCGCGTGATTAATTTAAAAAAAATTACAATACAGAAACAAATACAACTGATGTGGCACCTCTATTTAAATTTACTTATGAGCAAACTGCGTAGTGGTGGGGAAATTTTGACATGGCCAACAACGTCATCACGATGAAGTAGTATTCTTACAGTTTGGGCGATAGTGATTACGACTACAAATTATATGAAACAGTTACAACTCCCTCCCCCATGGACCCCTCTGTAAAAACAAATATTGTCATAATACCACTGCTACTTATTTAAATCTATTTCTGTAATATATATTTGTGTAATATACATGTATGTTTAGAACAGTCATTTAAAAACTGACGCTATGTTCACTCTGAGTTGGTTATCTCTCCCCCCCCCACACCTCACCACCGCAATTGTGTAGAGCGACATTAATGTCACACCTAGGTATACACTGGGTTGGATAATTGATCTAAAGTGAACGGACAGTGGTGAATGAAGTTGAACCCCCCCCCCCCCAACCCACCCCGAACTAATTTGTTAATTACATGTATAAAAACGCGTAATGATGTACCAAAGTACCATGCCGGCAGAAAATTAGCTTTTTAAACGTAAAACTCTGTGAATGTTGTTTTTGCAATTAACAGTGAAAAGGTGTGTGATCAATACAGTGATCTAACCCATACCTATCACTATGTTAAAAAAATGATCTTTGAAGTTAATACAATGAAACAGTAGTTAATTGTTTTATATGATCTGAACTAAAAGACAGATCTTTAGTTAAAAGTAGGCTGTTCTTCTTATTCTGTTGCAATTAAATCGAAAAGCGTGGTTTTATACCAACTCTAATTTTAAAAACTTTCATTATGCTGTAATAATTTAGCATTTATGATGGCGATATATTGAATTCTGATTATAGACAAAAACATTTTGTAAACACGAATAGTGTTAAGCAATTTCATTATATTCTAAAGTAATTATTTATTTGTTTTGACATTTATAATTAAATGTGTAGATATATACAAATTTATATTAAGAGAGTGATTATTTCCCCTATTTCACTTGTCTTAAATAATTTCCCAGGAATTATTATGTAAGAATTTTTTTTACAAGAATTACATAACAGATTGTGTTACGTTCATTGTTTTTGGTTGTAGTGTATATATATATATATATAGATATATTTAGATTGATACAATTTTTGTTTTGTCGGCCTACATTGTGTTTTTTCTTATTTCTTCAGAGCGCTACTTTCAATTTATTTTACATCATAATATATATATATATATATATATATATATATATATATATATATATATATATATATATATATATATATAAATATATATATATATATATATATATATATATATATATATATATATATATATATATATATATATATAAAATACACGTATATAGAACGTGTTAAAAATTCGTCGCCTTTTTTTCCTCTTTTCGCTCCCCCTACAACGAAAACCTGGATACGCCTCTGATGAGCTACTTATACTATTAAAACAATAAAATAAAAATACTGACTGTTTATTCTATAGATATGAACATTGGAACTTCTAAATTAGTCTGATTGAATGCAAAACCAACTTAAAAACCTAAACTAAATAATTTAAAAAAAAAAAAAAGCTTTTGTGTTATGGGGTCGTCCATAAATGACGTCGCACTCGTAGGGAGGAGGGGGGAGGGTCCGTAATTTTGTGAAGGTGTGTGATGATGGGGGGGGGGGGGGGGTCAGATTGTGTGACGTCCCACTTTTGCATTATAAAAAAGCAATGTTAGAAAATAAAGTTTAGCCCTTATTTCGCGTTTTAGAGAACTGATTTAATAAATTGTAATATGAATTGATTAAAATACTATATATGTTGACAGTAGCTCAGACAAGATTTTGGAAAAATATCGTGTGACGGAAAGGAGAGGGGAGGTAAAAATTGGCAAAAACAGCGTGACGTCATTTATGGATGACCCCCCCCCCCCCCAATAGGCCTATTGTAACTATGACATGGAACGTATATTTGTTTAGACCTGTATTTAAGTCTACTAAAATGTGATAACTGCTACTGTCTTTAGATCTAAAACATTTAATTTAAGCCGATGGCGTAGTGACCCTTCCCGGCGCCCCGGGACAAACTTTCAATTTGGCGCCCCCCTCGGGAGCAAATTTTCGATTTGCAACCTCCCCCCCCCCTCTCAAACTATTAATAATGCAAAAATGCAGCTAAAATGACATTTTAATTTGTTATTACAACCCATTTTGGCGCCCCCTAAGGTCGGCACCCGGGGACATATGTACCCCCCTGCCCCCCATTGCTATACCTCTGATTTAAGCTTCACGTCGCTGATAAAATATCTTAGACCAAATTAAATATATATATATATATATAATTCTTTTCTGGGAGACGCTAGAAAACAAGCTGTAAACGCGCTCCCTACCACCCCCACCCCAACATGGTCTGGTGAGCTGTGGTTCACTCTAAATGTTTACAAACAGAGCCAGGTTTAGTGACGACTATTAGGGGCAGCCTAGTTAATATAGTTTGAAACGATTTTAAACGTAGGGGGGGGGAGCAGTGGCGTAGCGAGGTCGGGTGTCACCCGGTGCGGCACTTAATGGTGTCACCCCCCAGAGGCATAGAGACCCTTCCCAGGGACAAACTTTCAAATTTTCGATTTGCACCCCCCCCCCCCCTAAACTTTCGATTTGCACCCCCCCCCTCAAGTTTTCGATTTGCACCCCCCCCCCCCCTCGAGTTTTTCTCTATATATTTTGCTATTTTTTGACTTGTTGTCACCCCCCTAAATGGTGTCACCCGCTGCGGTCCGCACCCCCCGCCCCCCCCTCGCTACGCCCCTGGGGGGGAGGGTAACTAAGTGGAGTTTACTTTAACGGAGGAGGGGGGGGGGGAGGAGGGGGGGGGTTATCTTCTTTAACGAGCTACTTATAGTGTTTTAAAGAAATATTTTCAGTGGCAGCGTTGGTAGTGTCGAATTCACAAATTATGAATAACTGAAAAGTAGAAAAAACGAAAAAACAACAACTAGATCTAAATAGCGGCGTATGATGCCGCGGGTCGGCTCGTTGTAATTATTTCGATACCTTTTCCAGGTTTTAGCAGTCTCAACGTCACGGAAAATGCTTTTTCTATATTGCCAAGGGAAGCTACTAGGAGAAACAATTTCTTCATCAACACTTCCGTGAACAATAAATAAATAAATAGGACTTCGATCTAAGATCTCTACACTAAAACTCCTAAGATCTATTATTTATGTATACATTTTAACAGGATGATTAGCCAGTTTTTACTTTGGCATTTGGTGTAGGCCTGTTTTTTAAAAAGTTTCTCCTTATGCAGTCCACTTACTACTAACTACTAGATCTAGATCTAGACTAGTCTAGATCTAGATCTAGAGATCTAGTTTAACTTTAATTTAATAAATTTAACTGTCACTGTCACTGAGTCTGAGTAGTAACGTAGCTCCCACTACTCCCAGTAACACACTAGATTCTAGATCTGACTCAAATTAAATTATAAACTGTACTCCTCCTCTGAGTCTGTCTGTAGTCGCGTAAATAGATTTAGAATCTAGTAATGAGTGTATTTATTATGTACTACGTAGATTCTACTTCTTAGTACTTTACTACAGTAGTTAGTTACAGTGTGAGTACTACCTGGCCAATGGTGAATGGAAAGAAGTCTCAAGAGAAAAATTTGGGATATCCAATAATGGAATCTTTAAAAAAGGGGTGTTGGGTTGTTAGTAGTATTGTAATCTTGACTAATTTTATGGTTAGAAATTAGGGTTAGGCATATGGTAGGACCAGGGTTAGGGACAGGGTTAGCATTGACATTAGCCAGCTATGTGTGTGTTTAGTTAACTACCAGTAACCTAACACCCCTTTTTTAAAGAATATTACATTATCGGACACTGATATAAAAATTCTCCAAAATTTGATTAGACAAAAAAAGTCACAGAAAAAAAATCATGTTTTATAATGATAATCTGACTTCTTATAATAAGTAAAAATACTAGGCCTAAGTCTAAAATTAGTCTAAAATTTTGTTACATTTTTATTCAAATACCGGTAGAAAAATTAATTAGCCTATAAAAGAAATTTAAGCATAATGTGTTTTGTGTGTTTTCTTACCATAGACCTATCCTTCATTGGCCTAGTCTGTCCACATTTGTACTGTTGACAATTGCACCAATGACAGCTTTTGTACTGTGTTGGCTTTTTGTCTTGATCTTAAGTTTTGTTTGTTATGTTTTGTTGATAAATATGGGCAGGAAAAAAAGGTGGTTGAACTATTGTTGTGATGAGTTGAGCAAATCAATCATATTAATTGTTTTTTTCCCATTACATGCTAATTCAAAGATAAAAAACCAATAGGCTATGAAAACTGAATAGTCTGAACATTCTATTAAATTATATGTAGGCTAATTATATTAAATGTTATGTGTAATGTTTAGCAGAATTAAAGCCTATATACTTCAGACTAAATATTTTATGTATTTTATAAATACAACATATGCACATATATCTAAAATATTTACATTGGATTTAATAATTGTATGCCGATTTGCACTTCTGGACACTTTACTTCATACATAAAAATATTAGCAAATTTTGATGCAAATACATGTTAATGTTTGTGACTTGTTTCCTACTATTGTTCTTTTTAGCCAATTTTATAAATTGTCAAGTTTATGCAAAGTAATTAGAATATTAATAGAGATTTACTACTTTACTAAGTAGTTTCAAATTAACCATTGCAACATCCAGATAAAGTTAATTGTTAATCAACAAGACTTTTTATGTTAAAACAGTAGAAATAACATCAATCTTCCATTGATTCAAGTACTTTGAGGTTGCTAATTAAAGAAGAACTGATGTTTTTTATGTTCATTTAATTTTAAATAAGACCTAGAGCTGCAAGCATGAAAGCTAGTGATAAAGTGCATGTGTTCTAAATCAAATATCTTAAGGGGATATGCTATGTTTTTTTCTATTTTTTACACTTTAAGATCTAAAGCCTTTTGAATACTTTTATCATATTTGGCATATAAAAGTAAGTACTAAACAGCAAAAAAGAGGGTCGAAAACAATTTTGGTTGTCATGGAAACCCAAAAAACCTCCGCCATTTTGAATTTTTCGGTACTTTTAAAAATACTAAGGCTTTTTTATTTATGCACCTATAGCAATCAAATTTAAACTGCTTATATTTCAGTATATATTAAAACTTTTGTCACGACAACTTTTTGAAATAATTACTAGTAAGAATTTTACAAGGTCTAAAAAATCGTACCCTTTTAAGTATTCAAAAGTTTCAAAATGTGCATATTAATTACCAAATACTTTTTTTCTATGAAAGCAATCACAATTCCCTCGTGACAAAAGTTGTATTTTCGCATCAAGAACATTTACTGAAAATATGGTTTGCATTGTTTAATAAATAAAAAAGTAGTAGGCTTTTTAGTGTTAAAAACCTGCGAACTGAGAAAAACAGCCAAAAGTAACGAAAACTAGGTCAGGAAAGTACCATATCCGTGTAAACTGCAAAGCGATTGTAAGCTTTGGGTGTTTCCGAGATGTAGGAAATTAAGTTTATTAGATACATGAGAAATCCAGCTTTCCAATGATGTCAAATACAATATAATGACGGATATAAAACGTTTTATAGAGAGCTTGTAAGATTGGGAAAAATTGATTATTTTTTAATTAATAGGGTCATAACAATCGTAATTTAAACACATAAAATATTTTTTTCTCTTTAAAGTTATTTTTTTTCTTTATACAAAAATGGACAAAGTATCCAAAAGTGCAAGAAACCCATCATGACGAAAAACAAGAAATTTTGTGATTTTTTTCCGCGCATATCCCCTTAAAGTGAAGTAATTTTTCAAGAAATAGATTTTTATTAGTATTATTAGCGAATGTTAATTCCTCTTTCTTGCAAGTACTTAATAAAATAATTATAATTAACTTATCATGAATAGTCAACAAAAATTCACCATTCATCCCACCATTACGACACAAGCAATAACTTGACTCCCCTTTGGACATTTTTTTTACAAAAAGAAATAGTTGACAATTAGTAGTTATAAATTTTAAGTTTATCATTATACTATACTATTTTCATTAATTAACTATGATTACCTACTGACTAGTACTAAAAACCTTAACAATATTTGATTTGCAATGTTAGATTGAGAAGAAGAAAATAGAACGGTATAATAACCTGAATGTTTTTTTTTAAAGGGAGTCAATACAGGCTTATATAGTTTTTCTTTTTAATATAAAACCAGGCCTTACACTTGCAACTGTTTTAATTGAATCAAGTATTTCCTGTTTTCTAAAGCGATGTGATTTCCATAATTTATTTTGAAAATCACAGGGTTTTTTAAAACACCACTTACTGTCAAAAAACTTTGAGGGGTAGAACTAAAAAGGATATATAATTTGAAAGCATTGGATTTTTATAGTTTCAGATTATAAGGTGCAGGGGTTTAAAAATATTTGCAGTATCCCTTAGCTTAAGATTACTTGATAAACTAAAATTACTGTAACAGGCAAAAAGTACATTTAACTGACAAAATTTAGCAATACTTTATTATAATATTTGCCACCTTGCTTGCTATATTTCACACTTAACATATACACTTGCATAAAAAATGTTTATTTCTCCTCACGTTATGTTGACAGGTGACAATGGACAGCGATCTGCTTACATCTGTCTCATCTACGGAGTTGACCCTCATAAACAATAATGTTGATGAAAATGGGGCAGGTCTACATGTCCTTTCAACTGACTTTGGTCATGGATCAGAGGGCATGATGGGAGAGTTGTCCTCTGATGATTGCAGTAGAGGTGTTATATCACTGCCTGCTTTAACATCAGATATGTCAAATACCATGATGGAGAAAGATGGAGAAATTACACTTAATTCTGCATTTATTCCTCAAAATGCTGTCTTACTAGAAACGCCAAGGGGGTATGTATTTTTTTTTAAAGCCTAAACCATTTTTTGTCATATTATGCATAAATTGTAGGTGATTAAATATTTAAAATGCTGTTACCAAAATTTGCTTAAACAGTTTATTGTCCTTAAATAACTTAAAGATGTAGTTCAGTGTCTTAAAAATGTTCTTAAAATCATGCCATTTCAACAAGATAGTTAAGCTTTTTTGAACATTACTTCTTTCAGAATGCTCTGTTTATTTTTTTGTAAGCCTTAGGCTTAAATGTAATTAGTAAAAAAATGTATTTAGATCCTCTGACAATTCAGAGAAAGGAAACATTCTAATAGTCTATCTCTACCTCAGTACCAGATGTTTCTTTTCATTAAACTTCATTAAATTATTATAGTACTAACTTTCTGTTTTCTGTTTAGGTTAATGTTGACAGTGCCTGAAAGTATGGTTAATATATCATATGGTGATGATTCCTCACCAAGTGATTCCTCAAGACCTCTACTTTCTTGCATCCCAGGTTAGGTTTTTTTATGGTTGTTTTTCTTCGGTAAATGTTTTGATTTCATTCTTTATACTAACAGATATGGTCTAGATTTTAGCCCAAATGCCACAAGCAGAGAGAAATTGTATGGGGAACTAGCAAATCTAGAGATGACCGTGCAGTGTGTATTTGACATTAGTCTTGTAATATGATTCCTTTAATATAGAAAATATTAAAAATGATGAAGAGGAAGAAGAAATTAAAAATCAACTATCTGCAAATCTACTTTGATCATTTCCATTTCCTAGACTGTACACATCAGAAATAACCATTGAGGGACTAACTGTTACTTGTTGCATTTTACTCGTGATAGAGGAATGGTTGACAACTGACTTGTTGACCTAGAGCTCTGATAGAACATTGTCTTAAAGCTTTGACTTTTTATTCAGTTTCACTGTTTGGTACATGTGATGGGTCAGTTGACACAGTTCCTGAGTATGGGGGTGAGGCGTCTAATGAATCACAACTCAATGATGAAAATGAGGAGCTGAAGTACACCACACATCTTGGGGTAACTATGCCATTAAATTCTATAACACTGTTGTAGAAAATTACTTTGTAAAAATGGTTAACTCTTCTGTTAAATAAAATACAACTGCTGTGGGAAAATAATATTCACTGTAATGATTTTTAATGCACTCCAGTTATAGGATTAAGTTTGAAAACATATTTCTTATCAACTAGTTTTTCCATTTGTTTATATCAGCGGTGTAAAGTTGGATGAAACAATTCCGGACTTTTACTTTGCTCTAACAATTGACTTCCCCTTACCTCTACTATGTCATTCTTCCAACTAATAGTTAATCTGTCCTCTAGAAATAAAATAAAAGGTTGCAACATTTTTCATAAAGATGCATAATGTATTTCTAATATATTGACTTTTAGGGTGCTGTTTCTTCAATGGAAAAGGATGGTTTAAATCAACAGTTGACAGTATCAGAAGAATCAACAGAAATGTGTGTCACAACAGTAAGTTAACACTTTCTGCTTCACCTAAAGTTTTTAAAATTTTGAGAAAATGTTCCCATTATTCAACCTCAGGATTCTTGTGTGAAAAATGTATTTTTAAATCAATAACAGAAGAAAAAAGGTGGCTGGCCAAAAGGTAAAAAGAGAAAGATCAAACCTACATTCACTGGACCCAGGGCCCCAGTAACTGGGTAAGTGTAGCGTGTGTGAGTGTAACTTGTATCAATTGCAGTTTGTATTAAGTCTAGTTAGTCTCTACTATCCTCTTTGGCCCCATAAGTTGAACATAACATAAGTTTCTTCACCATTTGGTACACAAGTAATGCAACTTTTTTTTTTTAGAATATATAGTTTATTTAACTCTATTCCAGGTCTCAACTATCTTATCTACAAATATTCTGTATATAATAATCTATAAGAAACAAATGGCCCATTCTCTCTATCACCAACTATAATACATTTGATGTGGGTAACACAGTTATACAGATGTGCTCCTTATTTATATTAAAGATTAATTTAACAATATATATAAATTTAAGTCAACTGATAAATTAATTTAAAAAGTACAACGAGAAGCTAAGTTTGCAGCTTAAATTACCAATGGTAACTTACACTACACTACATTTTCTTTCACTACAAGGCAGTACCTTGTTTAACACATCTTCTCATGTAGTACAGTTAAACACCATGTTTACTTAAAAGCTTTTACCACAGTAGTTATCCTTCCCTTCATACATGACATATGTTTTCAGTCTTATGCTGTCAGGCCTTTAAGCTTCTTAACCTCTACTTTTAATCACCATCCAACCCTTTTTATATTACTATTCAAAGAATGCACTAGAAATAAAAAAACAACACTATTCTACTTAGTTCAGTTGTTGGAACCATTAATTAATTTCTCTACTCTCTTATGTTGTGATGACATCAGACAATTAATACCATTCAGACATACTAAATGTAGCTGAGACAATAACAACATAACCTAGAACATGTGTAGTTGTTTTTATTTTTACCGAGGAGTGTTTTTTAGAGCAGTTTTAAAAAAGTGAATTTATATGATTTTTAAAAATATTTTTGAAATAATAATATATCTAAGCATCCATTCTAATGTTTAATTCTTTTAAAAATGTGTTCTAGGTACGTGCTCTATGCCTTAGATAGAAGGAAAAAAATAAAAGAAACCCACCCAGGTATCACATTTTCAGAAGTAACAAAAATTCTTGGACAAGAATGGAGTACCATGGCTCAAGAAATTAAAGATGTAAGCCATACACATTTTTTAGCCATAAATAATGTAATGCATATAATGGAGGGAGTTCTGATTTAGTGATCATGTGAGACAAGGTAGAGAAGGTTAATATATTTGAAGTTGTATATTTAAAAAAATATTTGGTGTTAAACCTTTCAATGAATAACCCATTTATAATGTTTATGAAGAATAACATAATTCGCCAATATTTATTAATTCATTTGACGTTAGGCAAACCTGATTATTAAATTGAAATTTATGCATATCGGAATGCAATTTTTCCATCATTTAAGCATTAAAATTACTATATCTGATTAAATAAATGCTATCAAAAATGTTTACTTTGTCAGAAATATTTAGCTGCTGCAGCAGAAGATAAAAAGCGCTACAGGCAAGAGTTAAAGGCATTTAGATCATCTGACACATATCAAGAAACAGTGAGAAAAAAATTGCTGTTATCCGATGATGGTATGTAGTCTTCAATGTTTCTAGAACTAATCAAATTAGTGGTAAAGAAAGCTGATTTATTTCCTTTGGATAATCCCAACTTTTAAAACAGACTCAAATATTAAGCTTATCCTCAGTATGGATAAATCTTAAGCGCATTCTTACAGCCCTCTCATGAACAGATATCACTATAAAATACTGTGATAATTTGTGTTTCAAAAGATAATTGGTTATCTCAACAAGTATATATTAACATAAATTTATGTTCACAATATTTTGCTAAACACTTCTGTACTAGGTTGTTATAGCAATAGTAATCGGTAAATATGATATTGTATAAAATAATATGCAAAAGAATTCTGTTTATTCATTGTTCCATCTCTTTTAGCAGATTTATCATCTATTCAAGAATCATCAGATATTTTAAACTGTGATGAGGTAAGCTATTGATTTTACAGTACTTTACTAACAATATTAAGCTAATTATATACTTTAAATGCATGGCAATACTATTATTCTACACAATTCAGTGAAGTTTATTATGCTAAATCCAGTCAAGTATTGACATGGTACTAGTGAAATAAAATACCTTTTGAATTTAGTTATTTTAAGAGCTTAAATATTTTCTAATAAAGTTTTGACCTGTCCATTACAAAGGAAATATCTAATGAGCTTTATTGTAAAGTGTGTCAAGTGTACTTCAACAATCTTCATAATAAGAGAGAGCACATGTATGGTAAATTTCACATACAGAATGTTGCTGGTGAGTAGGATGATACAGTAATAGGTTGCACAAGTTATTTAATTTTTTTTAAATATACCAACAAAAACCTATTCTTTAGCGCTCTTATTTTTTATAGTTGTTTTACAATTTTTTGTTAGGCACATATACAAATAATTATAAAAAAACTGTGTGTGAGGGTGGGGATTTTTAAGATGCGAAACGAATGAATCCAATAACACACAGTTCAAGTTCAACTATAATTGTTCTTTATTAAAATGATATATATGTTCAAGTTTCTACCTAACTGATCTACACTGTACTATTTACTTCTACTACTGACTGTTCATACCACATGCTACCTACTACTACGCACTCCCATGATCAATCCTAACACTAACTGTTCTCTACATTCTACAATCTCACGCCTTCTACCTCGCTAGCTAATCATGATCTCTTAACTGTCTACATTCCTCGGCCGTCTCTGACCGCTACCTATCAACTCCTGGCCCATCGCTCTACTGACCCACGCCCCAGTGGTCAGCTGACCATACCACGTGACCGGTCAGTCTCTGAATTTTCATTGGTCTACCTCTGACTAACACGCTAAAGCCTATTTCTGCTATCTACCTGGCTTCGACGCAACATTGCGTCATCACACTGTGTATACTTGATATTAGATTTTTAAAAATATTCTGTTGTGTAATTACTTCAACCAGTTCTCTCACTAAAGGGTTTGAATTATAAAAATTATTTTCAAACATTTCTAAAAATAGTAAAGTTTTCAGGATTCTACTTATTTTTATTATATTTACAAAATAGGAGAAGTTGAAAAAGAACTACTACGTCAACAAAGAGAAGAGCAGGCATTTATGGATGGTGCTCTGGTAGTATCTGAGGACATGTCACAGGATGAGTTCTCTACAGCTTTGAGAAGCAATGCTACCAGTAGTGTTAGCAGCAACAGTAGTTCTAGCTCAACCCCTCCAGGTCCTGTTGATATTCATGGCTTTATGATGGAGTTCATCCACAAAAACTATGGTGAGCTAACATTTTTTGTGTAATACCTGACATTCTTTATAGCTGTATCAGTTTCTGATAATTTTATTCTGTTGTATTGCAATTACCTTTTTCTTAAATTTCATTAAAAATTTATTTATTGAAATAACTAGTGTTGTTTTAACCAATTACTGTAAAACAGTTAAACATAAAAAAGTAACATGTACACAATATATACTTAATCATCTAAAGTGCAACCTCTAGAGTCTAGATACCTTTACCCTTAGATAACCTGGGTGTACTTGATCAAGAAAAGAATAGCTTTGTTCAAATAATACTCCAGTCAGCAATTATTGCACTTGGCTACACTCTTCCATATACAACATTAAGCAATAACAAAATCTTAAAATGATTTATGATTACCTCTCATTGTTATGTCATTTTTTTAAGAACGTGAACAGGAGATTTCAGTGCTTAAAAAATGCTTAAACAAAGGCTTGCAATACAATGTGACTATGTGTAAAGAAATACAAGAACTCCAAGACTATCAAAACAAGCTGGAAGAGGAGATGAAGTCCCTGACCACTACCACATCTGCTCTCATTGTCCAAAGTGATGCTCTTAAAATGGTTCCTACATTATTTGGTATCATAAATTTATGATCAGATTAGTTATTGGAAGTTTGAATGGTTATTCCATGTTTACATGCTTGCGATTTTGTAAAACGTTTTTTGTACCAAAAATTATGAGCTATATAAACAGCAGTAAACTCCAAGAATACTTTTTCTAGTTAGACATTCCTATTGATACATCATAATTTTTCAATAAATAATGTGATAAAAAGATTGATGCAGACTTCTGCCACTGTTAGTGTAAGAACAGCTAGTCTCCAATGATTTTGAATAATGCAGTTAAATAAAACACAGGTTTTTATTATAAAAAAAAGAATATTTTATTAATGATTCTATGAGATGCCATAGTCACAATTATGATTGCCAAGATAATATTTAGTTGTTTCTATATTTTGTTTTAATTGATGTATCATGTGTATAAGTCACCCAGCTGTGATGGGTACCAGACTAATTGAAGCAAGTGAAGCTGGCCTTAATTCCTTACTTGCTTATGTGAAAGAAACTTTGTATGCTCTCTTTCAATTAGCCCTAAGAAATGTCAGTTCTATGATTTCATAATAAAGCTTGAAACATTTAAGAACATGTGACAGATTAAGCTGTTTTGGTTAATAAATGATACCCTGACCAATTGACAGGTTCAATTACTGACTAGCTATTACAAATGTGTTAATATTAAAATATTTATTTCAGTTTAATTCTAGAGCTCTACCCAACTAATTTCTGTTTATGTATGAAATTTTAGTGGGCAAGAAATAAATGAAAATAAAGTTGTTTTTGATGAAAGTATGTCTTTTTAATTACTTTAAACAGTGGGAACCTTGAAAAAGTTAGACATCAACAGTATTCATAAAGACAAAGACAATTATTGCTAAGAACTATTTATTTCTGATATCTGCTTTTTAGTCAACAAACATGTGTTGTGACCCTCTTTATTTCTGGCAATTTCTATTGCAAGGAACTGTGTACGAACACCTGAAACAAATAAATACCAAACTTTATGTGAATTATCTTAAAATTGTACAGAAACATTAACAAACACAACAAGTAAAAAAAAAACCCACCAAAGTGTATGTAACAACCCTGCCCAGGAAAAAAAACAGTATTTTCTAAATACAAATATGCCTCTTCTGTTTGTTACACAAAAGAAACTCACTGAATGTTGTACTATCTGGATTGTAGTCATCTTCACAGTTTAATCTTAACAATGTACCCATGTTGAAGTCTTCTATTTCCCCTTTGAAAGACTCACAAAAATTTCTCCATTTCTGCTCAAAAGAGAATATAATTTTGATGAGTGATATAAACAAAAAGAATCATGTTAATAGGGTAGTAATCACAAAAAATGCACAAGATCACCAAGGAATGATTACGTGCTTTTAAAAAGAAGCTTTAAATATCCAACTTTGAAATTAATTTAATTGGGCGATAAAACCACAATTGCAAATGGATAGTCACAGGTTAAGTTCCAATTTTGCAAAAATATTATTGCACAAGTTATAATTACTTTTATACTGACCTAGTCAATAAGCATACACAATAAAGAATGTCTAAAACTAGTAAATGACATAAGCAGCATTTTAAAGAGGGAAAAATAATATGACATGTATGTTACTAAAGAAATTAGTGCTACCTCTTTTGATTCAGGTGATTTTAAATCCTCCTCGTCTAATTTTGCAACATTTAAATCAGGAAACTCCTTGCGAAATTGTTCGTAGATTTTATCATCAATTTTTGTCAACCTTAATCGTGAAGCATCAACTGATGAAATAAGCTGGGATTTAAAAAGTTAAACAAATTAAAGGAAGCCATGATGATGAGAAAAAGATAGTAAAATTATCCTAATGGAATGAATACATACATTATAATGAACTGTTGCATGGTCCATTGCACGAACAGCCCACTGCATCTCTAGACCAGCCTTGCATTATAATAAAAAAAATATCAGTTATGATAATTTATCATACCAAAACCTTAACCAGGCACAAGAATATAATGTTATAAGACATAAAAAATACAATGTATTTAGCCTAATACTGAGTAATACATTAAATAAAACAGCTTACATCATTGCCCATTTCCTCTGGTCGTCCAAGTGCAGCTCCTATCTGATTTAACTCAGAAGCATTCTGTCAGACATTTAAAAAAACAAATACTTATAAATACTAGGCCTAAACTTAAACATGTTTATATTAAAAAATATAGGCCTAATAGTACTTAGGCCTACTACCTCAAATCAGTGGAGTCGCTAGGTCGGGTGTCACCCGGTGCGGCACTTCATGGTGTCACCCCCCCCCCCCATATATATACATATGTGAGTGTGTGTGTATCGACCTAGATAAGCCTATAATTGAAATATATGCCACAAGGTAAAAATTTAGAGAAAACCCTTGAGATTTCATTGTATCCACCACCAACCAATCAAACGTGCACTTTTTCAGTGTTTTGGTTGGCTGCTGTCACTGCTGATGCGTTTTTGGAATTAGGCCTAACTAAAAAGGGCAGAAAAAGCCTTTTTCCTCCGCGTAGATCGAATTTTTTAACATTATTAAAATGGGCCTTAAATCAACCCTTTTTAAAATTGGACAGAGATCTAGATCTAGTCATTTTTTCAATAGGGAGATATTTTGATTTGTTTTGGTTTAGGCATGACACACAACACTGTGCGTGCATGGTATGTGGCCTGACCAACTGAAAGTAAATTGTCTATATATATTTGTTTTGAGTTTATATTTAACTCAATGCAACAAGCCTACAGTTGAGGGGGGGGGGGAATGGGGAAATCTGTCCGGGATTCAAAGGGTCGATTCTAAATTTAAACTACTACACGAGAATCTAGATCTATTAATTTTAGGCAAATCATGACTGAATCAACTGAATGAGATATTTAGATCTAGGTACTTTAGTAATAGCTACTTTTTTTTAGTATCTAGATCTAGATTTAGTAAAGTCAAGTATAAGTAAGTAAAGTGTAAGTTAATGTAAGCCCCGCTATCCCCGCCCGACCAAGTGTATGCTGCTGACTGCTGGGTAGGCATTTCGATGTCCGCCATTTTGTTTAATCTGGCCACATCCGAAATTTTTCAAGCCAACTTTTGTAATTTCGGCCATTTTCCATCCAAGTGCTTAGTTATCATGAGAGAATCGATAAATTAATGTATTCGATACGTCAAAGTGGGCTGTTTTTATATTCTATGTTTGTATGGAAAACTATTAGTTACATTTTAACATATCGATCCCAATTTTATCGAGGTATCTTAGCGAGCACGTCTCATTAAACGCAGTAACCGACTTCTTTCAATTAGTATTAATTTTAGCAAGAAAGTAAAGTATAATAAGCTAGACATTAGTTGTAATGAGCATCCTAACCATTCTCAAGAACAAAAATAACAGTTTCATAGAGTTCTTTTCATTGGAACATGCTTAAAAAGCATTGGTAAATCTTGGGGGGGTCCCGCTGACACAATTTTTTAACAGGGCGATAGGGGCCGCGAGGTTACCTATTATCGATAGAACCAAATTTCGGCATTTAAAAAAGAGATAAGTTCAGGAAACTAGATCTAGTAAATAAGTAATGCCAAACTATTTTGATGGGTGGAAATGTTGGTTTTATGGGGCTTTTTAGCTCTTTATAACCAGATATTGCTTCTTGCGTGAAGTGAAGGGGATCTACGCAATTTTAATAATGACGGCCGAGTTAAAATTTTTATGACGGTCCATAGACCATATGCATGAAATATAAAAAATCGCACATTTGATATTACTGTTTAACACTATTCATTGAATTGGCAAGATTTTAGCTTATAGAATGTTTTTTATGGATTAAATAAAATTTAAAGCAATGGAATTAATAGTCCCATTCATTAATAATCTTCCATATTAGTCATTTTCAATTGGGTAATAATAATAGGCCTAATTAAAATTTTAAATAGTAATAAATAGGCCCTTATAAATATTAGGCCCCTATAGAATAGATTTAGATCTATGTATTTTAATGAGTAATTGCTTATAAGAATCTAATAGAACTAATATTTATTGCATCAAGCTTAAATATATAATTATGTTGTAAAATTACTTATGGATGATGTCTAAACTTTAGTTACCCCGTTTCAGGAAAAACTGATTAAGAAAATAATTACAAAGATTAAATTGGTCATTTCTCAGATTATAGTATATTATCTTTAAAATTTAATAATAGCTAAAATATACTACTAGATCTATAGAGGCATGGAAAGTAAAATAAATGAAGTCAAAGATAAAATAGAAACATTAACACTTCACTTTAATAATGTGATCTAAAGCAACAGTGATAGATACATTTTTTTAAAAGTCAAAAAGAAAACAGAAACAGTAACACTTTGAACAATGTGACTTAATTTTATAACTTAAACTAAGCAACAGTAATTTTTTTTAAACAGTAGGTTCAGATCAGCAAATAAGGCAGCTGTCTATCCTTCAGTTGCGACACATCTCATCTAGTTTCTGTAGGCTGTCTATTGATTAACCATCCTTGGCTACTTATTAAAAGTAGCCTATAACTAATGCTACTAATATTTAGATATTTCAACATAATCCTAACCATATCATATTCCAGTATGAGTATAATACACAGGTATTATTGATACAAGATTTCAGTGCCACCCCCATTAATTAGACTTTATTATATGTGATTGTCTTTTTCTCCTAGCATTTTTTTGACTTGTAAATTTCTATTCCCAACATCCTTAAGCATCTATGTGCTAAGTTTTATCTTTGTATCATCAATAGCAACATAGATATTCAGTATGAAAAGTGACTTGTGGCAATCATAGTAGAACGGCACCGCACTCCTTAATTGGGCTTTATTAAGTTAATTATTAGTTGTTTTCCTTTTAATTAAGCTGTATTTCACTTGCATATTCCTGTTGCCTGTACTCCCTAGCACCAATATGCAAAGTATTATCAATATATCTTTATTAACAACAGAGTTGTGCAGTTTGACAATAGACTAACGTTGCTCTCTATATAAAAACGCCATGACCCTTAATTAGTCTTAATTATTTTTGGTTTTACCTTTACTGATCTTTATTTCAATTGCATATTCCTGTTGCCTGTACTCTCTAGTATCAATATGCAAAGTTTTATCATTACATGTTAAAAAATAACAACGCTATATGAACTCAAAGAAGGACACCAAATATTTTGCAACTTTACAATAAAATATAAGCTGTTTAACATACAACTTAAAAAATTCATAAAAAAAAAACTACTGGGCCTACAGTGATAAATTTAGTGGTTTATTAAATGGCAGTTTATGGCCTTCAATATTATGTGTGTTTTATCATTCTGAGATAATTAGGCAAAATTTACCAAAATGCCTACTGCTGGGCCATGGGGAGTATGCATATCCGTATTGAATTTATTTTACTAATTATGTGAACTAGGCCTAATCAAGATCTATGAAATTAGTCTCACCAAATTAGACATTGAGAATGCCATATTGAAAATATAAACGATACACTAAAAAGTCTTAAGAAAAATGTAGATCAGACAGTAGAATAAGAATCTAACATCATTAAAATACACACACGTTTGTTATGAGTTATTTTTAGAACTGCCGCAAAGAGTTCTACTTCCGATTTTTCGAGCTGAGGCAGCCAAACATAAAATTAAAATGTAGGTTAACTTAGGCCTAAGGGATAGATCTATGTTAGCCTAGTAGAATGAAAACGAAAAAAGAAATTAAACAAAACTTAATAAGAGCAACTGGCGTGAGAAGTTTTTTTTTACAAAATTAAAATATAACCAATCGATCAGTTTTTCTGCATTCATATGTAGGCCTAAATTTAGTATGCTCGTCAGAGTCCTAAGAGACTAATCAGTATTTGTTGCAATTTTTTAAACAATTGTCTTTTATTCGGTTGTCTTAGATTTCGAAGGCCTGAAAAGGGGAGGGGGGCGAACTCAAATTTCGGGGGGGGACGGGGGACGACGGAAGACGACGACACACTGTTAAAAGTACATATTTTCTATATTAATTCCATTTCGTCAGAGGCGTAGCGGGGACAAACTTTCGATTTGCACCCCCCCCCCTCAAACTTTCGATTTGCACCCCCCCCCCCTCAAACTTTCGATTTGTACCCCTCCTCAAACTTTTGATTTGCAACCCCCTCAAACTTTCGATTTGCACCCCCCCAAACTTTCGATTACTTTTTCCAACCCATTTTGGCGCCCCCTAAGATCGGCGCCCGGGGACATATGTCCCCCCCCCTGCCCCCCCCCCATCGCTACGCCTCTGCATTTAGTTCGGGGAGGGGGGGGGGGGGGCGAAGAGCGATAAACTTTCTTCGGGCTCCGAAATAAAAGCAATATTGCTTATCTTAATTATTATTTAAATAAGACATACTAAAGAATAGCATAGTTATAAAAAGGAATGTAGGCTATTCAAAATTAATTATATAAACACAAAAAAGTCATATAAATAAACTTAACGCAAGGTACCATTACAAAAATCAAGCGTACGTGTTTATACGTTTTTGACCGGCTGTTCTCAATCTTGGGCAAACAAAAAACAAAATAATGTGATACAAACATTTTAAAACACGATTATCTCAGGTCCGAAATTATATGGACTTATTTCTGTCCGGTTTGTTGACAGGACTCAGGGTGGTTATACTTAGCAAGGAAATATGTTAAATTACTCAATTTGGAAATAGATTATTTACAATTTAGTGAAGCAGGTTACTGGGTCGTGTGGGGGTTTATAAGTTTGTTAAATTATGTTACATGTGTAGGGTGGTAGAGATGTAGATTAGAATATCAACTGTTGTGTGTATTTATTCTCTCTGTTTTATTTTGTTTCTAATTATATTTGAAGCATGCACATACATATTTACAAATGCAAAAGTACATAAACAATGGCAAAATGTCTTTAACTATAATCAATATTATTTTATATTTTCTTTTTTTTTTCTTTTTTTTTAAATTTTTACTGCTTGTCTTTAAAAAAATATTTTAGACATGAATCCTTTAATTTAGTCTCACGATGAAAACAAACGGACCGGTACAACATTCCAGAGTGCAAAGCGTGAAGCGGATAGCACTGGGGAGGGGGAGGGGAATGGCAGGAGGGGGTGTGGGAACCTGGAACCGTGAGCACGCGCTCTCATAACGTCTCCACTGTTTTTGTTTCCAGCTAACCCGAGCGCTCGGAATGAACAAGTGTGTTTCCGGTTAGGTTCGTTTCATAAAGTTATTCACTTTTGAAATCGAGTCACGTTCAAACAGTACAAGATTGACTATATTTTATTTATAATTGTCTTTAAAACAGTTGGCCATGCTGAGACAGTATTATTAGCAAAGGGGATTTTTGCTACCATCGGTTTTTTTTTCTTCTCATATTAAAATTCTCTAAAGAGGTTTGGAAATTTGTAACTGAGTAAGAAAGCAAGTTTCCTCCAGCATAAAGGTATGTACTAAAGTATTTTCAACACTTTTGTAAACTTTAACTCTCCACTAAAACACGTTTAAAAAAAAAACACGTGAGTAATGAGCTCTCCTTGCGTCCATTGGTATGGCCGGTAGGTCATTCAGATAGCAGGAGGAAAAAAAACAGCTGGTAGCGAACGTTAATTTCCCTAAGCGCCGTCTGCTCACTGCTAGCTTTTTTCTTGTTACAGATAGGGGAAGGGAGGGATGGGGTCCTTTGGTATAATCAAAAGTTTACTCGTCTTTAAAACAAGATTAACATGTCTCCACGGATGTATACTATTACTGTGAACGAGTTTGAGCGACCTATCCACTTGTTAATATTATGAAAAATACATTCTTTCGTATCAACTGTAGCTATTTGTGAGGAAACTGGTTCCTAGTTTTAGTCCTGTGGTTCGTGGCTTGTGGCGAAGATTGAGAATTTAATAGGAGAATGACAAGTGGTTAAAATTGCCTGACGTTATTTGTGGACGTATTTGCTAGTTTATTGGGTAACGCTGCTAGAATCGATTAAATACACATTTTAACGCTCATTTGTTTGGTCACAGGGGCGGCTTAATGCACAGACAGCTACACCAGAGTTTAATTGCATTAATTAACTCATGTGCTCAAATTAAGTCACACACGCAAACGAAAAAAATATCTAAGAATTAGTGCCCCATGTAACATACGCGAAAATCATTTATTTTACTGTTTTATGTATATTATTTACACGTAAAAAACAAGTCCTAGGCTGAATATTAAAATCTAAGATTTGATTTAAAAGGTGGCTGAAAAAGACTGTCCAGTTCTGGTAAAATAAAATATTACAATTAGTTAAAATTCATAGAAGGAAAAAAGTTTTCTTAGTTGTCTCCCCTTGAGTTCATGTTTCACGCGAAGGTAGATAACACCCTAATGGCTTCTGCCGTCGAGGAAGCGCAGAGAAATAAACAGAAGCCGGAGCAATGGCAGTAGATAATGCGGCAGCTTTATCTTTATTTTCACCAATCCTAGAATGAAGTCCATCAGTATCGTTACTCTTAGGAATTCTTTGGGATGGAGTGGTCAAACTGTGAATAGAGGAATGTTACGCTACCTACGAGAGACTTGTGTAGATTGGGTGAAGACTTAACAGAAGTAAATGTATATCATCACTCTTAGCCCTTACAAGATAACGTTAACTTAATCCTAATAGAAAAACCAAAACCATACCTAACCCTAAAACTGCCCCAAAGGTAACGCCTAACTGTATTGTGTACGTCACGTCGTGAGTACTCTCATCAGTCACTATCTACAGTAAGTGGACGGTATCAAACAGGTTTAGACCACACAGTATTCAAACTCTTGACACTATTTGACAGAAGCTGGACATGATGAACAGCCAGCCGACCCAGCCTCGACATGCCCTAGTAAGAGTTTATTGAAGGAAATCGTTTTGAAGCTTTGGACAAAAGCTGATGCATCGATTTATTTATTTTGTCTCATTAATTTTTTTCTGAAATAAACAAAAAAAAAAGTTCTTTACAAATTAATTGTATCGGGGAAAAAATTACACCCGCAAATGATTTCCAGCGTGCTTTATACATAACCCATTGAATAGCCTTTTTTCAATTAATTCTCTACACAATTTTAATTTTATTTCTAAAAACTGGTACCCAGGTGTGATCAAACATAAACAAAAACTCGGGTGTCATCAGTTGTCAGATTTGTCCATACTTTGATCCTCCCAGGCACTAATTACTTAGACATCAAAGATCCATTAAGTCGGTGTGTGCACACGAGCAACTAATTTTCTGCTCTTTCCCAAACACGTGCTTTGAATAATGCGCATGTATGTGCGGGTAATATAGAGAATCCCGGCGCACCCTGTAAGTATCACCTTATCTGTTATTGATCTGTGATAACAAGATAGTAACTTGTTGAACTTAACTGCAGTTAATCAATATCATGTCGGGCAGGACGGTGACTCTCATTAAAAATTATCGGGTTAATTAGTTTGTGTAATTTAGTGATAGCATTTTTTTGTATTCTCTAACTTTAATTTATATTGACGTAGTTCTTCTACTTCTTTTCGCCTTATTTCTACTTGTAGTTCAAGTTCAGTTTGTTTTTCAATCTCGGCTTTATAAAGTTCAAATTGTTTTTCCATCTCGGCTCTACGAAGTTCGGATTCTCTTTCTTTTTCTTGCCGAGCCTTGGCAAACATAAATTCAACTTCTGCTTCACGTTTTTTGTAGTCTTCTGATTTCTCATCTAATTTAGCTTTAGCTTCAACGGATTCTTCTTCTCGTTTGGCCTCTAGCTGAACTCTATAGTGAGCTAACGCCACTTGACATTGTCTTTCCTGTTCTACATCCTCTAAAAGTCTTAACTGGACTAACTCAAATAATTTATCTTCATCGACAACTCTGTCTTGCTTTCCATATTTGCTTTTCTTCAGCGACGAGTCTCCAATGGTATACTCTAAGCCTAACTCGGGCTTAGTTCTAGTTAGAAGTTCGTTAAATGGAGGCATGTCTTAGTGTGGTGTAATAAAGGTGATGTGTGGGAGAAAAAAAAAGAGTAACAAAATAACATTAACTGAACAGGACGATACACATAAATGGGCGAGAGTAAGATAGATGTAGCTTACTCCAAGCCTACCACAGTACGGAACACGTGACAGGTTATAAAGAGAAAAAAAAAATGCTGGGAGCAGCACGATAAACACGATAATGCGAACATTACGTGATACAGCTAACTATAAATGTGTACCTCTTAAATAGCAGGCCTACACTCAGTGTGTCCTATAATTAGGAAGCCTCAGCCAATTTAAGAATAACAAGACTAGATCTATAAAGACATAAAACAAACACGGAGAAGAAAAACTGCTGAATAACCAGCACAGGATCCAAACAATCCCGGTTACTTAAAAAAAATCAGAGGAAGGTACTTATCTTGCTTCCCTGCGATGATCTAGTAGCACCTCTGGTCAACACGAATCCGCTTCAAACTTCACAACTTTTCACTCGAATCCTTTTTAGAACACCACTTGCGGAATTAAGGACCACTTGTGCTCCACCAATATGTGATGGGGGGTTTCATATATATTATATAATTATATCTTCTCTATATTCTGATCTGCTACTATTCATACGACAACTATTATACTTGTGAGTAGGACGGGAATCACTCTTATGTTCCGCAGACACTAATTAGCAAAAGTCAACCACTTCGTTTATGAAAAGAACACTAACTTTATTAATACACACTTATTTGCACAATATCAAAGAATACCTCCGTCTCCTACCATTACTAACCCCCAACTCACGTTACTGCTGCGGTCTACGTCATTGGTACATTGTCGTGTCATGCTCACGTCACATTCGCGCCACAAATATTGTATTCAACATGCGCACAATACTCTCGCACCAAATCGTCTACAGTCAAGTTCGCACCGTCCTTTGTAACCTCTACTAGTCGTCTAATTCTTTATATCTACGCTATGACACCTTCCATTAAAATTAGGCAACTGTGGCGTCAGTTTAATCTGGTTGATAATTATTTTTTTAACATCCTACTTAAAAAAAAATCTTAAACTTTTCACGTATTTTCTACCTTATGCATTCCCCCCCCCCCCCCCCCCCCCCGAGGTCCATATTCTGATATTGTTTCGTTCAAATGCATTAGCAAATATACACATACATTTTCATAAACTTGCAACTTGACTTATTTCACACATTTATTGGTTGTTGAATTTGGTTGGGCCAAATTAGCTGTTAAACTTAAAACGGACCAAGTTCATAAACTGAGATAGGCCTACCGCTGTCTCATCGTGACTGAGACTCTTAGCCGTTACACCATACGGTATGACTCCAAGCAACACAGACGCCTGTGTTTGAGAACCACTGAGATAAACTTACACTATACCAGTTGATTGATAACGTCAATCAATGGTGAAGTTCGTGTTTATACCGGGGAATAACGCGGCGAGCAGCGTCTTCTAAAGATGATAAAAGCTAAGGTAATGGAAGTTTTATCATATATTATGTTTCCTTTTCCGTCAGTCCTGTACATATCTCCTTGAGTATATAAGCCATGTGTGGAATATAAGACAAAGGCTTATAGAGAGAAGTGATATACTTGTGTTATAGGTATCGACGTCCCAATTCATTTGCTCAGTTCGTTGTAGGCCTACGCGGTAAATTAGGGGTCAAGTTAACCGTTCATGACGTCATCTGATCATATGATCGTTAGACTAGCTACTACAGGCGTGTGAATGGGGGCGGGGGGGGGGGGGGGTTCTAATATTAAAATAAATGGTGGCTCTGTCGTTTACTTTTAAAAAAAAAATGTTTCGGTGAATTTTTTAAAAACGTACTTGCAAGTGGGCAGGTGTAAGGCTTAAGCTTATGGATGGTGATAAGCATATATCACATATGAGCAAGTATAACCAAATAGTATTTTTACTTTATTTTTACACTATACTGATAGTTAGATGGACTGAGAGACATGCTGACCATAGTATCAACAAACCTGCCAACCAGGACGTTCTATTTCGGTATGGGGCTCAGCGTTTATAAATTAAAGACCTTGAACTCAAAGGAGACCAAGGTGAATAGATGAACGGAACGCTTCACTTTGTAGACAGGATCCGTCATGCTCATGCAGTGACGTCATCGACATGTGATGTTGTTTGAATGTTTTAAACGTTAAGGTACATAACTATCTGGTGGGGTGTTTAGAAAAATAAAATTATAAACTCCACGTGTTTGAAACTTTGCAAGCTTAAAAAAACCAACATCGCATTCCCGCTGGATGCTAGAAGTTTAAACAGTTACTTGTCAAACGGAAACAGGAATTTTCCTTGCTAGGGTCCCGGGAGAAGCAGGGGATGTTATTGGTGAGCACAAATGTTTATTTCGTGACGTCTGCTTGAATCTGTACAACCCCAGCCGTTGTGGGTTTTCTCATTGACTGAACAGGTAAGGGGGAGGAGGGGGGGGGGGGGAAGAC